GCTAACAGAAAATTTTTTATATAGTCCCTTCTAAATTATTCATACTAATGAAGAGAAATAACAAATGATACTTAAACTATTACATCATCAAGCTAATTTTTATTTTTAAAGCAACGTTTCCCAAACAGATTTTACTGAAACCAATTATTAAAATAAAATTTGTACTTTCCCAGTATCCGTTCAGTAAGACTAGGATCCCAATACAGGTAAGCCACAAGCTTACCAAGGAATGACGGTGTTACACAACCAAGCTATTTCCATTTCACAAGAGCAGTCAGTTGTAGTCACCCGATTCTGAACCTTCTACAAGCATCCATCTATTACCGTCATATTTCTTCACGAATTGGTGTCTCCGTAAAGTGCAAGTATCACCCTATTTCAGTCTGTTTTCTGCACTGTAAAATGGGAATTACATCTGCCTAATTGTGTTATAAATATAAATGACTTGGAAATATACGGAGCACTTAAACTTTCGGTAAATCCCACGTGCCATTATTTTCCTCAAAACAATGCTTACTTGCTTATTCTCTGTAAGTTTAGGGTACATAGGAGTACTTCAGACTCTGAGGAAATTAAGGCCCCTTTCGGGCCTCAGCTTCTTTGAGGCCCTTATCTTCGATTAACCACCTACTCCTGCGTCGCATCCCCGTTTGTAAACGTCCTTTCAGTGTACTCTTAACTCCAAATCTCCTTTTCCAGCTCAACTGTACGGACCAAGAACTCTTCTCCAAGGGCTTCAGCACCCCGCACGGCCCTGTCTAGCACCTCCATCCAACCCACAGGGACCACGCTTCAAACTCGCAGCACAGCCCCCGCGCTTGCCTCATCCAGGGTCTGGACCATTAAAACACAGCCACCCACGCCGAGTCCCCGGCTCCGGCCGCAGCGCTAGCTCCACCTTGAAAAGCCGGGACGCGAATGGTTAAACCACCGTCCGTGAATCCGCTCCAGCCTCAGTTTCCCTGGCGGTAACACTGAACGCGCAGGTTGCCCAGAGCCCGGGAGAGAGGCCCCAAATGGCCCGGTGCTCCCGGACCCCGCGGAGCCGCACACTAACCTGCAAGTAACCTGCTTGGTGCTCATGGTGGTAGGGCTACCGGGCCGGGGTCCAGCCGCAACGTCTCGCTCCCACCGCAGCCTCCCGCTCTCACCGCCTCCGCGTTGCCTTGGCCCTGCCCCTCCCCCCTGAATGCGTCACGCCGGCGCACACCGCCCCCTCGCGTGTGGCACCTTTGTAGCGCCGGCCGGAAACCTCGACGCCGTCACAATTGGTTCCGCCCCGGAATTGAGGTGGGGCGACCCCCAATCCCCGCACTACTTGTTTCGCATTTCCAAGCCTCATGAGCAGGGCGTGGTTACCACCCTAGTTCTGCCAGTTGTATCCCGTGTCCTGCCAACTGGTAGTTCCTACGGGTCTGCCCATCTTCAAGAGCCTTCCTTAGAGACATCTCGCACCCCTACAATCCCTCCATCCCTCCCGAGGCTAAACTCCTGCCCGTGCTCTGCGCATCTTGATCCCAAATCCTCTACCTACACTTCCTGGGCCCCTTTCTTGGGCCTTGTCTCAACTGTTCTCGCCAAACCTGGACTCCCAAATAAGGAATTCTTTAATCCTCTCCCAATTGCTAGTTTTACAAAGTCCCTACTTATATCCCAAGTTTCAGTTATTTTCTTTCCAGGCATTCCTCTACTGTTTGTCTTCCATTTCCTGTGTTGGGAACCAAAAAAGATATTCTTGACTCTTTCCTCTGGGTCTCTATATCCTGCAGATCCTGCTCTCCAATGCATCCGGTTGTCTCCACTTCTACCTTCATGGTTCCAGTCTAAACGACCATCATTCCTTGCCTGGGCCCATGCAATGAATGGCTTCTTAACTGCTCTTCTGGCTTCTCCCCTCTTCTAACCTGTTGTTACACAAAACCTATTTTTAAAACGTAAGTTGGATCATGTCGTTAACCTCGTTTAACCCTTTCAATGGTTTCCCATTGCTATTTATTGTAAAAATTCTTTTTAAAAATTGTAAACATAACTATTAAGTTATAGTTACTAAGATAATTATAGCAAAGTGCACAGAACATACGTATACACTCAGGAAATCACCACCCAGATCGAAGGTCATTATCATTACCCCAGAGGACTCCCTTATGCCCCTTCAATATCTCCCAAAGAAAACTGTTATTCTCCTTCTGTCATCACAAATTAGATTGTTCTTGACCTTGATATAAATGAAATAATTCAGTATGTACTCTTTGCCCTCTTTTGACCAACATTATATCTGTGGGATCTATTCATGCTGTAAGAACAAGATACAGCTATGAGTGTTGATCTATACATATTGTGTAGAACCTCAACACTTGTATGTTGTTCTTTTACTTTGCTGTAAAATGTCTTCCCGTGAATGAGCACAGTATATACTTGCAATTAGGACTTCTGACATTTCTCTCACAAATTTAGGAAATACATTGGAAAATTTGTAGTTTTCACTATATAGGCCTTTTGACAATTTTTATTAGAAGCATTCCTGGATATCTAGTTGGTTTTTTGGATGCTACTTTAAATTATATTAAAAAAAATGTCCTAATTGTTGGTTGTTCCATGCTAAATTCATGTATTAATTCTAATGTTTTGTTTGTTGATTGTTTTTGAATTTTCTACAACACACTCATGCCATCAGCAAATAATGACAGTTTTACTTCATTTTCAATCTTTATATCCTTTTTTTTCCTTTTCTTGTCTGAATGCACTACAGAGAACCTTCAGTGTAACCTTACATAGATGTGGTAATAGTGGACATGTTAGTCTTGTTTCTGAACTCAGGACATTATTGAATATTTCACCATTAATTAAAAAGTTAGCTCTAGGGTGTTTGAAGCTATCCATTATCAAATTAAGGAAGTTTCTTTCTCTTCTAAGTTTAAATCCTCTCTTTCCCATCTATTAAGAAAACTGTACTGCTTTATTCTGCTAGTGTGTTGAATTGTATTTTTTTTAATGTTAGGTCAGCCTTGAATTCCTCAGATATACCCCATTTGGCATAATGATTATTCTTTCTATGAACCATTAGATTCTGTCTGTTAATAATTGTGTTTTGGATTTCTGCATCCTTGTTCATGAGAGAGAGTGGTCTGCAGTGTTCCTTCATTGTAATGTCCATGTCAGGTTTTGGTATCTGAGATACACTTAAAATGAGTTGAGACATCTTCCTTCTTTTCTATTCTCTGGAAAAGAGTGTAATGTAGATATTGTTTTTTTCCTAAATGTTTGGAAAAATTTATAACTGAAGCCATCTCAGCCTCCAGTTTACTTTGGCTTTGTTCATTGTCTGCATTATACATGTGCTTTTATAGATTTCTGCTCTTATCTTTACTATCTTTTTTCTATGTTTTTTTAGTTCAAATTCTTCTTGTTTTCTAGCTTATTTAGATAGAAATTTAAATCACTAATGTTCAAGCATTCTTCTTTTTTAAGTATTTAAAGCTAAAGCTTCCCCTCTAAGCTCCTTCTAGTTGTGTGCCCCAAGTTTTTATGTCATTACCATTGCATTTGAAATATTTTCCAATTTCCATTCTTTGACCTGTAAGTTATTTAGAAATGTGCTGCTTAATTTCCAAACTACTGGGGATTTTCTTTCTTTTTAATTTTATTTATTTATTTTTAGAGAGAGGGGAAGGGAAGGAGAAAGAGAGGAAGAGAAACATCATGTGTAGTTGCCTCTCATGTGGCCCCTACTAGGGACCTGGCCTGCAACCCAGGCATGTGCCCTGACTGGGAATTGAACCAGCGACCCTTTGGTTCGCAGTCCGTGCTCAATCCACTGAGCTACACCAGCTCAGGGCCAAACTACTGAGGATTTTCTAGTTAGCTTTTTCTTACTGATTTTTAAAAAATTTCTAGCGTAATCCCACATTTGTGGGATTGTCTATTCTTTTAGTTTGGTCAGTATTGGATTTATATATTGTGAAGCTTGCATTTTTAGGTTCAAATAAATTTAAGAGAGTTCCCTTCTGTTTTGTCAACACATTGTGACTGTCTCTCTGTATTATGTTAGTTGCCATGTGATTCTGGACAGTGTGATATCAGTGAAAGAATGTATACATCTCACTATTGAGCACACAATACACTATGTAAAGACATGCATACAAAAGATATTTCAAAGAATGCTAGCTGTTCACTGCACCAGGGCACTGTTTTCAGGGGGAGAATGTGATGACCCCAGACAGTGTGTTGCATGTGAAAGATGTTTGTGAGAGTGCGGGTTCAAAAAGGAAATATCTAGGATTTTTTCTTCTACTGAAGTGTATTTTGTCTGATAACAATATAGTTACATCAACTTTCCTTCAGGTTTATTTTTCCAACTTTTTTATTTTCAACTTACCTGGTATTTTTTATATTTAATCTATATCTCTTATAAATGGCATATAGCTCATTGATTTTAAAATAGAGTCTCAGAACCCTTTACACCTTCTCCCAGTTAGTAACCCCTACCTAGGGTAACTACTATCCTTATTTTTACTGTGCTGTTAATTTTTTATGGGCAAGATTACGTCGACAATATAAAACATCAAAAGAGAAATAGCCTCAGGGTAAGAATTACTTATTCAAAGCCAAAACGATATAACCTTTTCTAGAAGCACAAAAATACGTGCAGGTCCCTAATTTCAGGAAGCTCACAGACTTATGACTAATTAAAGAACAGAGCTCTGGTAGAAACCTGAATCCGGCGCTGCCGGAGCCAGGGAACACTGGGGGGAAGCGGAGAAAGATTTCGGAGAAACGTAAGGCTTTTAAGGATAGGAGCTGGTTGCCAACAGTTGCAAAATACACAAGGTTAGAAAAAAAATTTGTAAGCAAGCACAAATGAAAAGGAAAATGAAAGCTCTTTAGGACACTAATTTACAGGGTGGCCTGGTTACTGGTTAATTGTACCCGGTTTGGCTTCTGAGGCCGTCAATCAGAATGACGTCATTGCTGATCGGGTTACACCGGCTGCGTGAATTTGCTACCTGGGCAATCAGGAAGTCTGGGGAAACCGCCCCTGGTTACCCCCAGGAGGGGAAAGCCATGCAATGCGCAGAGGCTGGAAAGCTTATAATTAAATTCAGTCACTGTAGGAAATACATCTACAGCTTCAGTGTGCCGCGATGCTGCCCCCTCTGCCGGCAGGACGTGGGCTCGAGGAAACTGGAGGAAGCACCTGTTAGCATCTCCAATCCGTTTACCAATGGACATCAAGAAAAATGTTCATTCCTCCTCAGACCAACTCAAGGGACGTTTCTTAGGTACAGTGTTTTCTGTTACCTTGAATTGTGCAAACTTTTCCTTCTGTGTTGTAGTCACTAAAATCTTCTTTTACAGTGTGAATGCGGTGTGATGGGTATTTCTTTCCAGCACTTCAGCACTAAATTCTAAAATGTAGGCCTATTTGTTTTATAAGAATAGATGGTGTGCATACTTTCCTGGAATAAGTGCACAAATATATGAAGGTCAAAACTACTTACACAATTAAAAATACTTTATTTTTAGAGAGATGGGGAGGGAGCGAGAAGGAGAAACATTGATGAATTGCCTCTCCTACACACCCCCATGGGGACTGTACCCCGCAGCCCAGGCATGTGCCCTGACCTGAATCGAAGGGCAACCTTTCGCTTTGTGGGAAGATGCCAAACCAACTGAGCCACACTGGTTAGGGCAAACCTACTTACAGATTTTTGAGAGAAAAATCCATAGTCTGGAGATTTTTTTTACCCATAGATTTTCAGTTAAGAGGCTGGTTGGAAAAATGACCCAGCAGCTAATCTTATCAAAATAATAAGCCCTGGCTGGCGTAGCTCAGTGGATTGAGCACAGGCTGCGAACCAAAGTATCGCAGGTTCGATTCCCAGTCAGGGTACATGCCTGGGTTGCAGGCCATGACCCCCAGCAACTGTACATTGATGTTTCTCTCTCTCTACCTCCCTCCCTTCCCTCTCTAAAAATAAATTAAGAAAAATAATACTTTTATTGTGAGTTAGTTTGTAATTTCTGTGACAACCAGGTACAATGTACAGAGCCTGAAGAATGGCCACTTATATAGACTATTTTTTGTGGAGGTGAATTAAACTGAAGACTGGAGCTGGTTTATTTCAATTGTACATGCCCCTTGACTTTAAGATTTCAGAAATCAAAAGGAAGGATTGTGCCTCCTTAGAGTCCTTGCGGAGTCTACAAATGGGATTGCGACTGGCCCTGCACAAGCCAGGCTGTGAGGGTGCAGGGGTGGTACTCAGTGATGGTGTGTGCTTTGGGAAGCGTGTCCAGGCGCATCATCCATGCTGAGAACTCCTTGCACCCTTGAAATCCACCCTCCCAACTCTCTCATGCCCTCAAGAGTGCCTGGGATGAGAAAATTAGAGTTGACTATTCACTTCTGCTAGCCAACTTCTTTAACTGGTTTCTTTTCTGTCCCTATGACGCTGAAACGAACCAAAGTGTGTAAAAGGTGTTGCACCAAGCTGTTTAGTAAGAGCCTCTCATTCATGCTAACTCGAAGTCATTAACTGGTTGAATCCAAAAGCTTTTGAATAAAGTCTTTAAAATTGGAATTCATTTGCCATAGCATGGCTCATTCAGGAGCTCCTCACTGAGCAGCACTCTGGGGATGTCACTGTGAACAAGCCACAGCCCTGCACTCAAGAAACGACACACGACAGGCTTTCACGCTGGCCCCTGGTCAGAGTTCCTTATTCTGTGATGTGGTAATACTGACGGGCCCGGCTTCTCTGGGCATCGAGAAGTGAGGTGAGGTGGCAGCGTTGAAACAAGTCATGTATGTTTTGGCGTCCCTCCCATCCCTTTAACCCTTCAGGCAAGGTCTGCAGAGTCCTTAAGTAGCCCCTGCCCAAAAGACCTTCTAAAGCCAAGTTCTAAACAATTTCCTTCCTTGTCATCCAATTTCTAAACCTTCAGGACTGACTTCCACAATTCACCTTGAGATGATTTCACCTATTTTTAAAAGGGGAACGAGCAGCCACCCAAAGGAATCACTGAGGCTCTGATCTAACTAGGTTGGGACCCGACAGGGCTGCCGCATGGCTGTGCAGGTTGTGGACCGCACGAAGGCACCGGGCCAAGGTGGTGGTGAGTGCTGAAGCTCAGTCTGCATTCCACTCACCAGGCCAAGCACCTGGGCACAGCTCCGTCTGCAGGAAGAAGGGGCCGCTTTCTTAATTTGTTCAGAGGTCCTGTCAAGGAGAGGCATGGCCCTACCCCGCCCCATCACATGCATCTGCAGCATTCTGTATGTATTTTTCTCTTCATAGCACATACCAATCTATTAAAAGCTCGCAGAACTGAAGCTAAAACATCTTCCCTGGAAGTGAGAAAACTCCATGAGGGCAGAGACCTGGTCTTATTTTCTGTCATTAGCCCTTCACTTCAAACAACAAGCCCATAGTTGGTACCTGATAGATATCTGTTGCAAGACTGAGAAATAACTGAAGGAGGGAGTCAGGGAGGAAATGCCTAGGATTTGAGCAGGAAACCAAGTGCAGCCATGTGCTCAGGGGGGTGCAGGCTGTCATGAGGCACCCAAGACTCTACCTGTTTGAACCCCCAAGGTCTCCACTCCAAAGTGGCTTCAACAAGATAACCTAGGGGGGCAGGGAGGTTGCTCTGAAGAAGGCAGGGCAGCCATTTGTGTCCTTGGTCATTTTAAAAGCTGCAACTGCTTGCTTTAATGAGGAACCAAATACCCAGACCTGTGGTCTGATAAAGGACCTTAATCATTTGAAAAGAACCTCTGATTTATTCAACATCTCTATGTGGCAGGCACTCAATAGACATTTTATTCTTACAATCAGCTCACTAGGAGGCTTATGACATTTCCATTTTCCTCTCTGGGGAAACAGATCAGAGAGAATAAGTGACTTGCCCGAAGTCCCCAAGTTAGTAAGTGATGGCCTGGGACTGTATATGCAGGTTAACTTCTATGGACTTATACCATCTAATACCCAGTCTCGGGTAAATAATAATTCCAGGAAACAAGGGCGGTCCGAGAGAAGTGGGTGTGGGACAGGCTGCAAGACCTAAATGGGCTACATTAGTTTTAAAGGTAGAGGTTCAGGATCCTCTCACCCACGTCTACCTGAGGCTGTTACCTCACATAAGAGGAGGAAAGAATAGGAGCTCCTTCAACAGCTGACCTCTGCCTGGGCGCCTCTTCCAGGGCTGGCCTTCTAGCACACTCACCTTTAGCACTGGGGGGAGGGGGAAATTTTAGATCTCAAATGTAGTGTTGTCCTAACCAGCTTTGAAACTGGGCTTTCACTAACCTGGACACTGACGGCAAGTCTGGCCCCAGCCCAGAGAGGAGGCCCGTCACTCTCCAGTGCCAACTCTTCACGCCAGACATAGGCAAACGAGGAAAATATGACTGCTTTCTTTCAGGGAGTATGACGGAAGGTCTGATCTTCATGTCGGAATAACCAACACGAATGGTGAGTGCATTTTCATTTTTATTTTTTTAGCTTAAGTCCCCAAAGTACCCATAGGAGAGCAGTATTTCTAAAGAAAATGTGATCATGAAACATTAAACAGTAATTCCTTCAGGCCCTGGGCTCTCCTGTGCACCAATGGGACGATGCTACTTCCCCTCCCGCCTTGGCTGAATGTTTTCTCAGCCAAGAGGGACAGAAACCGTTTACCTTTTGGTTGGTCTTTAGAAGAGTTAGAAACAGAACCCCAGCCACGTAGTTCAGTTGTTTAGAGCCAAGGCTGAGTGTTTGATCCCGTCAGGGCACATGCAAGAATCAACTAATGAACGCATAGGCAAGTGGAACAAATCGATGTTTTCTCTCTCTCTCTTTCTAAGATCAATACATTTTAAAAAAGAGGAAAAACCAGAATTTTGGAGACTGAGTTGCCCAGGTCCTCATTGTGTATGGCAATCAGAATCTGGACCCAGGCCCTCTGCTCCCCAGTCCTATACTTACTCAGCCCACTGCTATTGGGTCCTCACACTCCAGGGTCTGCAGGGCGTAGGCAGAAATCTCAGGGAGAAGTCAGGGGACACCTCACATAAAAGGAGGTGGTGCGGCCTACCATGGTTTGCTTTAAAAAATAGTAATTAAAAAGAAAGGAAGCATGTTTAAATAAAACAGTTCCTTTGGCCAGATTTAACTCAGGGCATAGAGTCTGCAACCCTTGAACCCAGGACATCCTTGTCTACAGGGAAAGGGCCCTGGTTGGCCACTTGCAGGAAGTGCAGGCCTGGGATGGTGAGCAAGGCCAGCCCCGTGAGGCTTTCCTCACCCCCCTGAGGCAGGAGAGACTCACGCTGTGGGCAGAAACCTGGGACTGGGTTTTTTAAACTCAGAATTATCCATATGAGCAGTAAAATTTACCATCAATCTGATCACTGGAAATTTATTGCTGATTTAAGGAAACAAGATAGGCCCATTTATAAATAGAGAACTTCAACAAAAATATTCTGGTGTCTATTGCTGTCCCTGTTTCCGGGTGACTTGGGAGTGCTGAAGGGCAGGCAGAGCAAGAAGTGGGTTGCCCTGAAGACAGGGCAGAGAACAGGCTATGGAGAACGGGGCAGAGAATTGGCTATGGAGGAGGGAGCTCCATAGCCAATCCTTAACTCCAGAGAGGACCCTCTCTAAATCTCCTAGGTGGCTACCTGTTGAATTTGATGATCCTGGAGGAAGGAGGTTCTAGAATCTCTAATGACCTACTGCTAACTGGCAATAACCAGCAAGTGCAACCTCGGTTTCTGATGGGTAGTTACTGCATGGCTCCTGTCATTTTCTGACATCCCCTTTTCACAGAGGTACGTTCCCCCTCAAGTTTCTGCACAACTCTGGTTTTGGTTGCAGGAGTTGTCTATAATTACACCATGCACGGTGTCCAGCGAGATGAAGCAGGTTGGGAGCAGAGTGTAAGTATCCCATTACTGCAGCCTGGCATGTTTGGACTGATGGACCAGTGGGACAAGTACCTGGAAGACTTCTCCACCACAGCGGCCTGGCTGCCCCACAGGTACGAGCCTGCACAGACCACCTGCTCCCTGGCCCTCATTTGCCACACGAGTGTGATCTCAGTTCGCAGAGAACTCTAAGCTGCATGTAGTTGAGCTAATACCAAGATAGTAGTCTGCCTGTAACAGAAATTTAAGCAGGGGTTGATTTACTTCGGGGTTTCTGAAGAGGTAAGCCAGCGTACATTACACAAAGAATCAGAGCATTGTAAGAATGGAAAGGACCAAAATTTGGAACTCTGGTTATTTTAGTTAATTGACTGGGCATTTTTACATATTTAACATTTAAGAATAATATGTACAGCAAAAGCCATATTATGTTCCCTAAAACAAAAAAATTTTAGCCCTGACTGGTGTGGATCAGTCAGTGGCTTGGGCATCATCCCACAAACTGAGCCCAGGTGGGTTCCTGGTCAGGCAGGGCACATGCTTGGGATGCAGGCCAGACCCCGGGTTGGGGGAGTGCGAGAGGCAACCTATCCATTTTTCTCTCACACATTGATGTTTCTTTGCCTCTCTTTCTCCCTTCTTCCCCTCTAAAAAACATAAATAAAATCTTTAAAAAATTTTTAAATGATATTCAAACTTTATACATACTTTAATTTTTGTTTTGTTTTAGCAAATATGAAATTGATTTCTCAATTCCTTGCTTCCTTAACACTTTAGACATACAGTGTACTTGTCCATTTAAATTCTTTTTAGGATACCCTTCAAATAAATTTAGACACTGTGGAATATCCTAACATTTAAGATATTAAATTCTACTTCAAGAATCTAGAATTTCAGTGAAATTAAGGCTGCAAAGTTGGAGTCTATATGCACCTTAACTCACCACTCCAAACACTGAAGTGAGTCCCATCAGTACCTAAGTTGCAAGCTGAAATAACCCAGCATACCAAGTGTTCCTTCCTGCACAGGGTGGGCCCAGCTTGCTAAATCAGAAAGGCCTTCAGCTGTTTCTCAGCCTGTTCCTGAGCAGCTTTTAAAGCTAAGTCTTCTCTTCTCCATGCCCTTGTTTTGAAGGTATCAAGAAGACTGCCACAACTGCTACAGTTATACCCTCAGATTCATTAACTGCATTCTGGCCGCGGAAGGCAAGGAGCAACTGGACAAAAATGAGTTCACAGAGAAATTTGTGGTCCCCAGAACCAGGAAGGCTTCCAAGTACATCACACTCTACCGGGTGATAGAAGAGCATGGGTTCTATGTGACTGACTACCCAGATCAAGAGCCAGGCCCTCCTCCAGGAAGCGTTTTGTGCTGAGTGTGCTGTGTAAGAGCAGAAGGGACAGGGCATTTGGGGGGTTACTACTTTAATAGATACTAGGGATTTCTAAACACTTAAACTGTGGTTAATAAAAAAAATAGGTGATATGGCTTTCCTTTAAGCATACCTCAGCTTACTCCAGTATAAGAATTTACAAAATTAATAGAAAAATATTAAATTAAAAAAATTGTCCTGGGTTTTCAAAATTGTTTGCATTACAAGTAAGTTCTTTTCATAGCAGTTTGGTTTTCAAACTGAGAATATGTGTTAAAGCATAAAGTGGCAGCATCTCTTATTCACAGAACAATGAAAAGTCTCCCCATAAATTAATTAGAGCTGGATAAATTCACCTTTCAATACGAACCCAGAAGGTGGAGGGATTTGTAGGAAGGTGAGCAACACAGCTACAATTTACAAAGTAATGGCTATTTTTATCTCACTGTTTTTCTTTAAACAGCATATGGTAGCCTCTTGATGGTCAACAATAGAAAAAAAAAGAAAGTAAAAAAAGAAAAGGTCTCAGAACCAGAGTCAGGAAATGGGCACTCCCGCATTAGCTCCTCTCACCCACATGCACTGGCAAGCCCTCGGGAGTGGAGCCCCAGTCTGCTCCCTTCTCATTTGCCTGATCTGACAAGATGGGGGGGGGGGGGGCGGCAGCGGCTGGGTTTACTACAGCTCCTTCTCTTCTCCCTTTAAATGCAGACTTCAAAAAGGACTCAGTGAAGGGCTGTCTTGTTTCTCTAATAGAAGAAAGGGGAAAACTGGGATGAGCAACTATAAAAAAATGAGGTGATTTTAACAAGCATATTAGAATTTGTATATCCAAATAATCATCAAACTTTAAGCAGCCAACCAGCAAAACATTTCAGAATCCCTCTTTGGAATCTGCTTCCAGAAATCACTTTTGTTTTTGGCCAAATGTGATATAGGACCCCACCTAATCTTATTCTGCAGCCTGGTCACCAAGTGATGTCTAACTTCCAAAAACCAAATCCATCCTCAAGGAACTCAGCTTCAAAGGAACAAACCCATCTTCAGTGTACCCCTCATCAAAGTATCAATAATTACCCAGTAATACAGATATTCAGAAAATTTGCTACAGATCCTTAAAGCTTGTTTCCGAAGAGGTGTTTGGTCAATGTTCCGGTGTTGGCAACTTCAGTGGGAAGAAATGCAGGGCACACCAACGTTTGTACTTGTAAGTTCTGGTGCTTTCTTTTTTCTTTAAAAAAATTTTTTTAAAAGATATTTATTTTCAGAGAGAGGGGAAAGGAGGGAGAAAGAGAGGGAGAGAAACATCAATGTGTGAGAGATCCATCGATTGGTTGCCTCTCACACACCTGCGACCAGGCACCTGGCGCGCAACCCAGGCACCTGGCGCGCAACCCAGGCATGTGCCATGACAGGGACTTGAACCAGTGACCATTTGATTTAGAGGCTGGTGCTCAATCCACTGAGCCACATCAGGCAGACCTGGTACTTTTAAGAAAAACAAAACTCCCCATGCACAACGTGATACCACTTTGAACATAACTGTGATTACTATTTTTTAGTGTCCAAGAATTCATAAAGCTCTCAGTGGGTAAAGATAAAAACCTGTTATGTTTTGGGAATATTCCAATTTGCCCCATGCTATTAACATGTTATTTTAGGACTTCACTTCTCTGGTTCCATTCTTTACTTGAATATTGACAGTCATGGCAGCTGTAGTTGACAAGTATTCATAAAGTTCTCTACACCAGAATAAACACGTCTTATTCTTCCCTTTCATTTAAGACCACCCTGTGAAGTAGATACTAGCATTATGCTGGCTTCATTTCACAGATGAAAAGGCAAACAAGAAATGACTTGCATAAAGTTACACGATGGCAAAAGCAGGGCTGAAAGACGTTTGTCTGACTGTGAAGTCTGTGCACTTAACTCCTGGGCCACCTGGTGACCTGAAAGACCCCAGTGTACCTAGGATGTGCAACTGGGTCAGCATGAGAAAGGAGAAAATAAAGGGTTTTGCTTTCTTCAACATTCAAACATGGAAAGGAAGTAAATAACATGTCATAAAACAATTCAGATAAAATAAGAATTGCTAAAACAGAAATGTCCAGCTTGTGCTTTCTCTTAGTGCTGTATCCTCTGCTTTTCAAAGCTTCAGCAGTCCCCTTTCCCTGTTCCAGGGGCTGCTGCCAGCCTGGAGGTGGCGCCGGCCGCAGTTGCCTCTGTTACTTCCTCACTTCAGCAGACTATAAATTCCCCATCCCTAAAACCACAGTACCACCCTCGAGGTTTTACCCCAATAAAGGAAATGAGGCATCTCTTCACACCAATAGAGGGCAATGTTGCTCCGTTTTTCAGAATTATAAACAGAATCTGATTGTTTTCCTCCATCATGCCCGCTAAATGCTAACTGAAGGATGAGGAGATCAGCGTTGGCACCCGCTCTGCCTCCCAGAGGAAGTCCTGTAGCTCTCCCCAGCACCTCCCAAAACCCATGTCTTCATCTCAGCATTCATCTCTGCTGTGTGCACACACCTGGTCTTCCATCAGTGCTCACAGAATGCCCAATCACTGGGCTCCTTTTCACAGCGAGGTCAGTTTGCCTCAGTGTTACTGATTTGAAAGACTAAATGACCCACACAAAGGCTTTTTTCCAAAGCCTGTACAGCATGCATGGATTACTATTGTAACCAGGAAAACCCAAATAAACATTACTCCACAGCAGCCATATCTAGCTCCCTTTATGCTTACTCTTGTCTCCCCCATCTTCAGAGCTGACTTCACTTCACACTATTTTTCTATCATCTCCTTCATTGTGTTACCTACCAGGGTATAAACTAGGCTTTGTAATCCCTAGAGAAATGGTTATGGTAATGCTGACAATTTTGGTTTATATGAAAGGGAAAAAAGTATACATACCTACCATGTGCCAGACCCTTATGTAAACCATCTCATTCAGTCTGCAAAACAAACTGCAGAGGTAGTCACCATCCCAATTTCACAGCAGAGGAAACGGGAGGCTGAATTACAAGGCAACAACAGTTCCTAAGGTCACTCCTGCTTTCCTGGGTTAGAGCTGGAATTTTGACCAAGTTTTCCCAACTTGACTGTTTCTACTCTATCAGAATGTACCATTTAAGTTAGGAAGATCTTTGTAATATTGTTTCAGAATATGTAAACATTCTGAAAAATTAAGTGCTTAGGACTTTTCACTTAAAAAAATTAGATTGAATTGCTTTGAAATAAAAAGTTACCCCTAGTTTAACAATTTCACAATATGCTTTTTCTTAAAAACAAAAAAATGTTTTATTTATTTTTAGAGGGGAAAGGAAGGAGAGAAACATCAACTATGGTCGTCTCTTGTGGGCCTCCCACTGGGGACCTGGCTCACAACCTGGGGATGTGCCCTGACTGGGAATTGAACCAGGGACCCTTTGGTTTACAGGCTGGCACTCAATCCACTGAGCCCACCAGACCAGGGCACAAATGTGCTTTTTCATATTCGTAAGTGAGGCATCCCTTATTTCACAAAAGGTAACAAGACTTAACATTTTTTCAGCATATATATAAAAAGCAAAGATTTAAGATAAATTAATGGGTTTAAATCTCTCAATTTTAGAAATGGGGCTCAGTAACAGTTTTAAGGAAGTTAACATTCATGGGATAATTGAGTCTGTAATGAGATTTCTAAAAATTCAATTTGGTAAAATCATAAATGGAAGGTGGGCGGTGGGGAGGAGGAACATTTCATTTCTTTGTAACCCAATTACTCCCCCACAGGGAGAAAACTAAGTTAAAAAACCTCATTCTAGTAAATGATAGCTGTTTTTAAAGAGAGAAAATGAAAATGTTTTAAACAATAAAGGCAAAATAACTATAAAACGAAATAAAAACTAATCAATAAGTAACAAGAAATTTTCAGACTAGTACATGATTCTCAAACACTCCAGCATGGTAAACATGCCTATTCATGTCAGTTTAATCTCAGCCAGATATTGTGCATAATAAGCCAATTACTTTATAGCAGTGAATCTCTTTATGAGAGGACTCGGGCAGTAAGGTGCAGATGTCACCATTTTCCTCGCAGTTGGGGGATGAGGTCCGAAAGGTTAGCCTCTCAAACTGAAGCCAAGAGACCCAACGTGCAATAATCAGCTACACAAGAAACTGCCTTAATAGCTGACAGCTAACTGCGGTTCTTACGGTGTGGTGCGAGTGCTTCCTCCTCCCCCACAGTGAATCATCAGAGCAGCAAATGGCTGAAAGCACATTACCAGCTAAGAAACTTGCAAGACCCAACTCACATAATCCTCCAGCAACCCTCTGTGGTTGATAACATTATTGTTTTTATTTCTGCATTGAGGTGAGATTCATGTTACATATATCTTTTTAAAGCAAAAAATTCAGTGGCATTTAGTACAATGTTGTGCAACCACCTCTATCAAGCTCAAAAATATTTCATTACCCTGAAAGGTCACTCTGTACCCACTGAGCAGCTGCTCCTCAGTCCTCCCTCCCCACTGTCCTGGTAACCACCCATCTGTGTTCTCTATGGATTTACCCATTTGGGGTGTGTAATTGGAGTCAAACAATATATAACATTTTGTGTCTGGCTTTTCTCACTTGGTGTGTTTTCAAGATTCATCCACGCTGTAGCATATACTTCATTTGTGTGTGTGTGTGTGTGTGTGTGTGTTTGAATAGCACTCCACTGTATGTGTATGTTGATGACATTGCCTTCATTTTACAGAGGAGGGAAACAGAGGTGAAGATCACATAGCTCGTTAGTGGATGAGTTGGGATGCAAACCTAGGTCTGACTCCAGACCAAAGAACTCTTAGCCATCTTGCCCTCAAGGCCAATTAAGACCAAGGAATTGCTGAAACTTAATACCAAAACCAGAGTCTTACAAATAGTTCAAGAAACCTGAAAACTGTAAGCGATGGACTCTAACCTGAAGTGGTGGTGTCTTAAGGGCTGGGCAAGTGTGTGGTTACAGAACCACACATGGGTGCCCACTGCTCCCTGGGCTGGTCCAGCACGTCCAATAGTGGCTGCCTGATTCTGGCCACACATTCTTCAGAAGATAGGCTAAAGGAAACTCAACTCACTCCAAGGACAAAGTAGCCCCTTTGCACACTGAGGACCCTCTACAAAGTCCTGGGACCTCTGCATTTCCCGTGCATAAACAATGTTTGCATTTGTTACCAGATGAGCCTAATTTTCATAAACACCCTTCAGCTTTCAATCCAGATTTAGCTTTGAACACAGGCACTGGGTCATCTCAGTCTCTTGCCAGTTTGGTGGGTTTGAGTCACTCCTTCCAGGAAGGGAGGGGAAACCCCTTGTGTTGGGTGTTTTTTTGAGTACTCCTTTATCCACGTTAACCACAATGAAGTAAATATTATCATTGGCCCCATTTTAGAGGTAAGAAAATTGAAGCTCATGAAGGGCAAGGTAAGTTACTCAAGGTCACATACCCACTGAGCAGCAGAGCTGAGATCTAAATGGGTCCTTTCTAGAAGGCTCATTCTGCTACCTGACTTTCAATAAAATGATCTCTGAGGATACTAATTAAATGGTAAGAACCACATATTGCTCGAGATTCTTAATCTTGGATCCACAGACGGTCCTCGTGGAATCTGTGAACCTCCCAAAGATGTATGCAAAATTATATGCATAGCAGCTCCTGGGGAGAGGAATCTCATGCTCCAGGCCAACCCTTGAGGTGAAGGACCACCCCCCAAGCATGCCAGCACATACACAGCCCTGCTTGGAGTGGAGGGCAGCCTTCCTCTTTAACTTCTACCCGGCCAAGTCCCAATGGGGCTGTATTTCTGACTTCACATGATTCTCCAGGCTGGCGTCACTGTAGTAGTGGAGATCGTGTAAAGGCACTGAATAGAGGAGCTCCCAGGTCAAGTCGTCTGACTGTACTTCTGACAGCGGCCATGTCTCTGAGCCTCAAACCTTCCTCCCGTGGAAGGTCTCAGCAACTGAACTCAAAAAGCTGCTGTGGAGTAAGAATGAACACGGTGTCTGCCCTGCCTCAACTCCTATTATCTGAATATTTACTGTAACTGTGTGCAAAAGAAATGTTACCCTATACTGGTTATCCAAATGAAAAGTTATGGATATGTAAGAGTCTGCAGCAAAATCATTTGAGTTGTGAGAGTCAGGACCAGAAAGATGACATAGCACACGCTGCTTAGATGACCAATGTTTGCGAGGTTTGGATGTGGCCTTTTATCACGTCATCTTCCTGACTTTGTTAAGTAACAATGTCTTCTATGAAATGGAAAAGCCTGTGGAGAAAGTAGGTGAGTTTTAGAGGCCTAGGAAATACCTCTGCATTAGGAAAAAAGATGGATGTGATAGTGCATTGAGAAAAGTGATCATATAAAGCAGTGGTCCCCAACCTTTTTGGCACCAGGGACCAGTTTTGGGGAAGACAGTTTTTCTGTGGACCTGGAATGGGGGTGGGAGAGGTGACGATGGGGAATGAGAGAACAGGAGGTGGAGCTCGCGTGGTAATGCCAGTAGTAGTCACGGACCAGGAGGAGGGAGGCTGGGGACCCTTGAGATAAGGGATATAATATTGGCCAAGCAGGTGTCTACCTCTTTTTGTATGTATATATTTTTGGTACTCGGTTGACAGAATGTAACTTGTGAAAAATGTTGGTTCCACAAAGTTTCACGATGTTCTTGACCATGATGTGCTATTTTTAGTGAAATTCTTATGGGGCCAGTCAGCCTGATGCCACTTGAATACATGCTGGTACAAGTGGGTGGCTTCGAATGCCTTTGGAGAACTGGAAAGTAATGGAGGAGAGATAGGATTTGGTGAATTTCAGTTTTAAAGCAAATCTGGAAGGGTCAAGAGGTTTAAGAACCATGTAAGCCCGATGCTTTGAGGGTGTAGGTGAAGCAACTCCCGCCCTCAGTGAGGCTACAGTGTCTCCTCCAGTGAACAGCAGTTTCTCCTGTAGGTGGTTTTATCGCAAGGTAAATTTCCAATCTGAATGAATTTGAGCTTTATTTTGAAAACAAATGCCATCTGGAACATTTGTTTCAGAAGGTAAGAAAAAAGTGCTAGGACTTAATACTTCCAAAGATAAGCTAATACTGCTTTTAGCTGGCAACCAAAATGTTTGCTGGTGCATCATTCCAGAAGCCCCAGTGCCCTCAGGTACCGCTGAAGAGTGCATGGCCTGCTACACGGTGTTCAAATCTTATACACAAAGAAGGGAAATCCTTCATACAAGGTTTCTTTGACTAAAGATGATGCTTTGGACAGTCTTCTAGAGCCTTCAGTTACAAGTATCTATGCAGTCTTTTGGCTTCTCTACATCTTTATTGAAGCCTTTATGATAAAAAAAAAGCTTCGATGCATATTAGCTGATGTTAAAGCATCTGAGGTGGAATGTTGATAGAAAGATCATACTTTGATGAAGGATTCATGGAAGAGTTTTGACCATAAAGGCATCTGATGCACTGACTAGGCTTGCAAAGAAGTGTCACTACAAATGATCAATGAAATAAGGAAGATCGACATCAAAGGTTTTGAGATGAGAAATTGATGATTCAAAGTGAAGTCTTTTACTTTGCTAAGGAGCCTGGAGTAAGCAAAGTGAACAGTAACAATGCTGAAGAACTATTAGTATCACTAATGAAAAGCAAAGAACTTACTAAGAGGCTTTTTCAAATTGATGGCCATTTTGGTCTGAGGCAGGGGAGGAAGGGGAGCCCCGTTTATTTGCATGCCAAATCGTTAAAATGTAAAGCATGTGGACATAATGATTTCATTGGGAGAGCACAGGGTTATGATGTGAACAGAACTACCGCAGTAAAACACAACTATAAGAGATTCTTAGACCATCAGGAGCTCTAAGATCATGCAAGGGAGTGCAAACAAGTACCCATTTATTTCTTTTTGTTGTTTCTTTTTCATCTCAGCTTCCAAAGATGAATCTTAACCATCTACTTCTGGTATATTTAGTGCCAAGAAGACTGTCCGTCAGTGTCCTGAATTCGGACAGTGGATGAGTCTCAGACACGTGTCCCCTCACTCCCACACCGGCTCCCTTTGGCTCGCTCACCTCACCCCCACACCCTCTGTCCATTTCCTTCTTCTTGCCTCCAAATACCAGGCCTCAGGCAACTCTTCACTGGAATCTAATCAGTTAAGAAAAGGCTTTGTTTATTGTGTTTCCTAAATGTTAACTGCACTCATTATGTATCTTCATATATTACTTCACCACCTATTTTTACTTCATAACAAGTTCACTGAAGCAAGATGCAATTTTTACCTAATACTGCATAATATTTTATATTCTACACCAACATGCCTACCAATTAGCTCACTGACAAATAACTAGGTAATTGTTTTAAATGCTTTCTATGATTCAGAAATCCTTGTTAAACATTAAATAGATTTTTATGTTCTTGAGTAATTGGTTGGAGTTCTCAGACAAGCAGAGACATGTTATGTTTTCCATTTACATTAAGGGGACATAGCGTCCTGCAGTCCCCAAGGCTGCTTTCCAGCCCTCTTCCAGGAGCTGACTGGATGTGGGCAATGAGAGGTGCCTGTGTATAAAAGTGCTGCTTTGAGAACTGTAGCATGCCACATCCATGTAAACTATTATCCTTTTCAGATACAATCAGAGTAACACAGAACTTCCCTGTCGCTAGACGAGTCTTCTCGTGACTCATCTACTCAATGTCCTCACTGAACAGATGAGGATGGAGTGAGGCCCAGAGGCCAGGAGCTCCAGGCCAGTCACAGTCAGTGTGACTCAAGGACAGAATCTGAAGTCCCCGCCCGGGGCTATTTTTCTCTCCTGTGTAATTTTATCTTTTCAAACACTAACAGTTTTCTGGTTCTGGGAGCACCATGCCCTTTAAAACTTTTAAATTAAAGGCCAATTACAATAAAAGGACTCTTTACCTTGCCCTGAACTTGGCTTATTGTAGGAGACTCAATAAATATTTGTTGGTGAAATCAGAAATAAGAGGTGGAATTGTTAAAGTTCGTCTTGGTCACTCCTCTCTCGCGAGGAAACCCAACGGCTCAGAATCACCTCCTGTAACCAATCAAAACAAAAAAGAAGAATGAATTTCAAAAACAAATGAAAGAATGTGCTAGCCATGTGACATCGCTGCTACATTTCACAAAAAGCTATCTATACAATGGGGATACCTGTTCCCATGCCTTGTCACTGAACGTTTGGTGAAAATGTGAATGTAGCAATATAAACCTTACATGCAAACAGTATCCACCATAACCATGCAAAGACTTTAAAAGCTAAACTTGCCTCAGCTGAGATATTCTACTAGCACTTTCCGGGATTAGGAGTGCCAGTACAAGAGTGCATCTTTAACACCAAAACCAAGTCTATGACGACGCTGCCATATCCAGGTCAGCATGAGAGGGGAGAAGTAGACACTGATGGGCATTTTATGAAAAGCTAACCTAGTGGGGATGGCAGGACAAAGTGAGGGGATGAGGCACTGTGGCCCTCAAGCAGGTCTGCAGAGGGATGGGGGAGTGAGACCAAGAAGAAGGTGCAATGTTAGACAAAAACAACGAGATGCTGGATGTGAGGGTGGGGTCAATGACAGGGTGAGGGATGGAACTATTAAACACTGGGTGACGAGACAATGAACTTGGCATCCCTGGCAGAGAAAAGCCTGCCATGAAAACAAGGGGAAACTCAGCTCAACACAGAACCCCAGAAGTCAGATGAGGAGTTCAAGAAGGAATGAGTCAATGGCGACACTTCTAGTCTCTGGGAATGAGAACCAGGAGAGGTCCTGGCTTGGCCAAGAGGTCCCAGGCCATCTGGGAGAGCAGTTTCAGCTGACTGGTGAGGAGAGAAACCAGATCACATTGCAGGTAAGGAAGCAGCAGGAATTAAGGGGGAGTAAGAGTGGGTTTAGCAGGGAAGGGCCAGAGAAGACCAAGGCAAGATGGGTTTCATTTGTTTTCTTGGGAGCACATGTTCAAGACGACACAGTAAAAGGAACAGAATCTTGGGGGTGACATGAATTATCTGAGTTTACGCACCTGAACTTTAATCCTTTTCATACATTCTGGTGACTCCATTTCTTTGTCAGTCATGGCAGAGGGTTTAATCAAATAGCACAGCATGAGTTCCTATTGAGAAATGAAAAACAACCTCCATATCCCACAAAACAAGGGTACAAGTTTGAGTGCCTGGGCAGGACATGCAGGCAGTCTCCATGCCCTCTCACGGAGTGCTCCTGCAAGCATCGCAAGCGCACCAGTCTCCTCCTGGAGCCATCGTAACTAAGGGCTTCCCAGTTCGTCACTGTTGACATGTCAAGAGAATGCAAATAAAGTAGATAATACTGGTTATAAAACATACAATTTAAAATATTAAATATATACTGTAAGCCTCAAAAAGTGGACATAAAAACACCAGAAACAGTAGAGACTCCCTATTTCTATGGGACAAAGCTACTTTTTATAGGCCAAAGCCTAAGCAACTTAACCCACACTCAAGACAGTCTCAGCTCCCACCACACCTCCAGCAGCGTGGGACAGAGTTGGCAGGGGCCACAGTTTGTTTTAGGTAGCAAATTACTGAGTCCACACAGTATACACACAAGGCTCTCATCCTTTACAGTCCTGGTGACTTCCCTCCTACCTTAATGGCAGCAGGAAACAGAACACAGCCAGGAGTAAGCTGGCTCTGGGTTTGAACACCAGTTCTGCGTATGAGCTGCATGATCATGGGGTGCTCACTCACAACACCTCTGACTCTGGTTCCTCACTCTTAGGATGAGGATCATAAACAGATGGTGAGAAAACATGTAAAGTGGTTAGCAATAAATATTAATTCCCTTCCTGCCTTTTCAAGAAATCTATGAACTTTGGAAAGAAACATGAATGTGTGGGTGAATCTGGAGCGTGTGCTAGCTGTGCTGACCAAGGGCATCCCAGAGAAGGAAGGCAATGCCCACCAACGCCATTCACTACACGGAACTTGGAAGCTCAATTCCTGGAGCTTAAAACCAGCTGGTGGTGGGAGGGAATATGAAAGGAGGACAGGTTCTGGCCCAATCTTCCAGAACTTCAATGGCAGGAACACTTTGAAGTTTCCACAAATGACTTTTCTATTTCTACTACATTTAAGGGAAACAATCCAACCATTTACATGACAGGTAATGCCAGAGCTGATGTTACCTTGGAGACATTCACTGAAACTCTGCTTAAGGTCGCCAGTGACTTCCAACTGAAAGGCCTGCGAAGACGACCCTCAAAATGGTCATCCACCAACTCGATAATGACGGAGTAACTGAAAAACATAGAAAGGGTGTATTAAAAATAAAAAGCATGGAATCAGTCTGTTTAAAAAGAATATTGTTTGTCCTACCAAGAACAAAGCTACAGAAAAATATAAAATATACATCATCTGATCCTGAATTCCCCTAGACTGTGCTGAGAAAATATTAATGCAAAACTCACACTTTATGTTATAAAATTTTAGACTGATTTCAACACCTATAGGAAAGGGATGGAAATATTTCTCCCAATATGAAAGCTGAGAATTCACTCAACTGTTTAGATACTAATACTCACTGATATTAAGATGAACAATTACTATATAGATTAACTCAGTATGTAACATGAAAAGACACATTATCATAACCTATTTATTATTTTATATACAGTGTAACAATGTTGGTGTTTAAGGCATGGACATATAGTAGTTATCCTCATCAGGAACATGACTAATTGTTTCTGTAGCACTGAAAATTAAAGTGGAGGCCAGAAATATCATGTCCCTTTAAGCCATTAACTTATTGAAAAATCACTCCAAACCTTGCATGGTAAAATGGAGGTCCTTTTCGATAGAGCACTGGAAAGAAAAAGAAAGAAAATATATAACCTCCAGAAACCAAAATCTGATTTTATTTCTTAAGTCTTTTCTTCTCCACAGAGACATAAACACCCAATTATCTGTATGTGGGAAATCTGCCATCTGCCCAGTAGTCTATTTTTAAAACCTAAACTGTTTTTCCCCCAGGAATAAAACACAATTAGTAAAGCAAATCTGTCACCAAGATCCTAACACCCTCCTCCCACCCCCACCCAACCTATGAATTCCTCTTGCCTCTTATCTTATATTCTCTAGAATGAGAACTTGAAAGTATATCAAGAATGTGAAGTTTGACAATTTGTTATGCATGTCAAATCAATGTAATTCAAAGTGTCTGGGCTAATCTGGCCAGGAACCGACTTAGGTGTTGGTGCCAGAGATGAGCAAGGCTCATGCCTATTTTTAAGAAATGCAAAGTCAAGTGGGGGAAAAAATCCCGTAACCATACACGCCGCTCAGAGATCAGTCTGCCCACTGCAGTAGTTGCCCGCCTTATGCATGAAGGCTATGTTCCAAGACCCCCATGGATGCCTGAAACTGTGAATAGTACCAAACCCCTATATATGTTTTTTCTTATACATACACACATATATTAAAGTTTAATTTATAAATTAGGCACAGTAAGAGATCAACAACTAATAATAAAATAGAATAATTACAACAACATACCGTGATGGAAGTTACGTGAATGGCTTTGCGCCATTATTAAGGTGAAATAAGGGTTACTCGGCACTAGCACTGCGATACCCCAACAGTCGATTGATAACCGAGCTGACTACTAAGTGACTAACAGAGGGAGGCCATTTACTGTGTGGAGACACTGGACAAAGGGGTGATTCACACCTTGGGTGGGATCGAGCAGGACAGCGAGGGGCTTCATCATGCTACTCAGAACAATGCACAATTTAAAACTTATGAGTTGTTTATATCTGGAATTGTCCATGTAATATTTTCAGACTGACATTGACCACACATGACTGAAACCACCACAAGCAAAAGGTCGGATAATGGGGGACTAGTAGTAATGCAGTCGTGGAGGTCATCCTTCGGGGGCAGAGTCTGTGGCAGGGAGGTGAACACCATGTGCCTCACAGAAGTATGAAGATTAAATAAGACGACAGAAGAGAAGCACCAAGGCAAGATGCCTGGTCACCAAAGAAGCCAGCAGCCACGGGAGCTTTTGCGTGGGGAATGTAAAGAAAGGTCCCCCCCGACTCCACTCCCTTGATTTCTTCTCTTGTTTTCACCAGTGGGTGATCAAGGTAAACCGGCTGGGCAGCTGCACTTGAGATCCCTATCGCTTATTCCAAATACTGCTCCTGGAATGAAATGTGATTGACAAGATTTGTTCAAGGAAGAGTTTCCCCGATAAGATGTGAATTTCATAACGGCCCTCTGTCATATGTCATTAGCTCTGTAAGCAGAAACAACTGTTAAGTGGATGTCCTGGATTTAACCTGTGTTGGCAGTTCTAAGGTACACGTGATTAGATCACTAGCCTTCAAAACTAAAATAATATTGTTAAAAACCAGTGGCACTGAGCAGCTGAGCCTGGAGAAGAGGTGAAGTTTCGGAAGCCGCACCTCCCATCTGGGCCAGCACTGCCCATGAGCCTTTGCTAGAGCAGGCGCTGTGAAGACACCCTTCATGTGGCTGCTGGCCTGAGACCTGGTCTCACATTAATTATACAAGCAGCTTGAAGTGCATGACATGCCCCAGCTGTGGCAAAGGCCTCTGGGGAGTTGGGAAACAGCAGTTGATTTATTTTTCTTTTTAAAAAGTCTGTCTGCTTGTTTTTTCATTCATCCTTATAAGGCAGTTTATTTTTAAATTAGGAAAGTTCTCTCTATATCCACAAATATGGCTTGAGTGCTAAAATACATGAGATAAGGTATGCTTAGAAGGCACTCAACAAAGGCTCCGTTCCCCTGCAAGTAATTTAAAAAAAAAATTAAGGTGTTATTTTATAAAGAAGGTATTCTTACCCATGTTATATGATGACCAAACAAAAGCTCAGGAAGCCCTGGCTGGCATAGCTCAGTGGATTGAGCGCGGGCTGGGAACCAAAGTGTCCCAGGTTCAATTCCCAGCCAGGGTACATTCCTGGGTTGCAGGCCAGAACCCCCAGCAACCACACATTGATGTCTCTCTCTCTCTCTCTCTCTCTCTCTCTCTCTCTCTCTCTCCCTCCCTCCTTTCCCTCTCTAAAAATAAATAAATAAAATCTTTAAAAAAACAAAAAAAAACAAAAAAAACACAAAAGCTCAGGGAGATGAGGAGACGTGACTGAGGTCACACACACCACACACCTCACAGGAGCATAAAGATTAAGTAAGAACCAGGGCCGGCTGTGAACCCAAGGAGTTCCCAGAGAGGGAAGCTCTCTCCATCACCCCAAGCCACCTCTTAATGCATCACTGTAGCTGTCCACTGGAAAATTCTACTCAAATTTCACCATATGATGAGAAAGTTGGAGAAGACCTGCCAACGATTTACACCAAGTGGCTATTCTTACAGGAACATGAAAAGGAGAAAGGGGCAGGAAGTCAATGAAGAAAAATGAGAAAGGCACATCACTTATTTAAGCAATGTGACTGGGGCCAACACATTTATCTAGAAACCTAGAAAATTAATCTCAAGCCAATCCCGATCACTGGTGTGGTAACTCTGAGTTAGGATATCTGTACCTGGAATCCAGTCATGGAAGAAATAAAGGAAACCATTTATCATAGAAAGATGAGTGATCCCTAACATTTATTTCAAATTGCTGGCCCTCTTTGAGAATTTCATAAAAGCTATGGACTCTTGACCCAGAAAAACACACCAATCTACGAACACAATATTTTGAATAAAATTTCAAGGGGTACAAGAAACCCCCTGAAGACCATACTATGAGTCTAGGTTAAGCACGCTCAACTTTAGAGCATTTGAATCTTTAAAAGATTTAAAGAATTGAACTGGCTTTCTTTGGGTATTTAAAAAGGCTCAAAAGCATATGAAACAAATATATGACAGAGATCAAAAAACCTCCAGGGCCATGACTGCTTAGAAGCTCTCGCAAATATTTTGAAATTTTTGTTTCAACCTCATGAACAATTCTGAAACGCATCCAGGAAGCACCTTCTCTTGGCAGATGAGGAAAATGAGTGTGGGCACTTACTGAAGGAGACACTAGTGCAGGTCACGTTTGCTCACCCAGGCCCCTGCTCTAAGTGCCAGTTACACAACGACAACGCCAGACTTGTATCTCCATGCTCTCCTGTGCTCCTGAGCTGCCTATCTTCACAGTATCTCCAGTTATTGTGTCCAAAACATTAAGCCAAATATCTAGGCATTATATCCCTGATTCCTCTCTTACCCACAAATCTCATGTCCATTCCATCCGCAGGGCTGGTTGAGCTCGGCTTCCTTAACTAGTCCCTCTCCTTCCATTTTTGCCTTCCTGGAGTCTATTAGTAAGAGAGCAGATGGAGCAGCAATCCCCAACCTTTTTGGCACCAGGGACCCGTCTCAAGATGATTCAAGGGCATTACATTCAAGCTCACCTTCTGCTGTGCAGCCTGATTCCTAACAGGCCTGGACTAGTACCAGTCCATGGCCCAGAGGTTGGGGACCCCTGAGATAGAGGGTCCTATCATATTAAGTCATTAAACTTAAATCACTCCCTTGCTGTAAATATCTTGAGACATCCAATCAGCAGAATACCATCCAAAGTCTCTACGTGACCTGGCCCCAGCCTAATGCTCTGACATCACCTCGTGTCACTTTGCTCTGGATCTCTAAGTTCTAGACACATTGTCCTTCTGTTGTTGCTGAGACCTGCTGTTGAGTTGTTCCTGCCTCAGGGCCTTTGTACTTCCTGTTCACGTTGCCTATGTGTTCTTTCCCAAATTCTCAAGTGACCTGCTCCCTCCCTGTGGTCACATTATTTTCAGAGAGGGCTTTCCTGACCACCTGTAATAACTTCCTGTACTCTCTATCCTTTTACTCTGCTGTTTTCTTATAGTACTTACCACACCTGAAATTACATCATGTATACATTTGTTTGCTTGTTTGCCCTCTACCACCATAAAGTAAGTCGCTCCATCAAGGTGGCTTTGTGATTCTCTTGTTCACCCCTGTATTCTTGGCCCCTAAAAAGACCTGGCCCACAGGAGATCCTCAGTAATTCTCTGTTGAATGAAGTGGTCACCTGGCTTGGCCTCCTCATTTAGTAAAGATCAGTGAAGGAAGAAGTGTGTATAAATTTCTAAGAGTCTGGGCTCCAAAATTCAAAATCCAGCTCTGTAAGTTACTGGCCCTGAAAACTGTTAGGTGCAAATGACCCATTCTCCCAAAACTGCAGTCTGCCTCTCGGAAAAAAGATAATAAGTACCCATTGCAAAGGACTGCTGGAAGGATTAAATGAGATAATGAATGTAAAACAGTACGATGCTTGACACATAGTAAATGCTCAATAAAAGGTAGCTGTAATTACTGTTGCAATGATTATTCTCATTTGTTAGATGAGGCAATTGAGGTCCAGCTGACAAGGGACTGCCCTATATCACATGATCACATGGCTAATGGGGGGGAGGTATTAGGGCGTGCCGTAGAACTCTTCTAAGATTACAGAGCAGATGAGAGGAAAAGCCTGACTTGAGGCTGCATGCTTCTACTCCTGGGCTTTTCTCCTAGCTTGTCTTTTTGCTCTTTTTGGACATACCCTAAACCTAATTCAAACATCCAATATTCTTATGTATGCCAGAAGGAAGAATCTCTTAGCAAAGATCAGTAATCTGATTTTCATCCTAGGATCTGATGCAAACCCTGGTCCTCACACCTACCAAGCTAGGAATTACTTACGTAAATCTGTTCCGTACTTTAGTCCTACTTTGGGCACCCAGCCCTTGCTTCGGAAGTAGTGGTATGCCATGTAGGTAGTCCTGAATGTGGGCTGAACTATGGTGAAAACTTTCCAGAGTTTCACAATCGTTAAAGGCTCCTGAAGTTATTGAATAAAAGACAGGCATTATTATATATGCACTCATCATTCAGCCAGTGAATCAACATCTGTAAGTGTGAAGCTGAAGCAGTGAAAAACACAAACACTGGTAACCATAGCAAAGGGGTTTAACTAGATCTGGACCTGTGCTGTCCAATGACATGCCTGCACTGAGATGTGCTGCATGTGTAAAACACACGGAATTTCAAAAGCTTAATGTAAAAAAATAAATAAATAAATGATCTCAATAATTCTGGATATGTTGGGTTGAATAAACTATGTAATACATTTTAAATCAATATCACCTAATCTTTTTTCCTAAGATTTTATTTATTTACTTTTAGAGAGAGGGGAAGGGAGGAGAAAGGGAGAGAAACATTGATGAGACAGAAACATCGACTGGTTGCCTCTTGTATGCACCCTGTCTGTGGACTGAACCCACAACCCAAGCATGTCCCCTGCTGGGGAACTGAAACCATGGCAATTTGCTTTGAGGGATGACACCCAATCAACTAAGCCACACTGGTCAGGGCACTGACTAACTTTTTCAAACCTTTTTAATGTGGCTACCAGAAAATTTTAGATGATGCTGGTGGCTTCTGTCTGAGGCTACCCTGAATGACATTTGAGATGAGAAGAGAGTAGCCAAGTGAAAGGGAGTGGGGAGGGCCCGGGAGGAGGAGGAGGTGATGGCGGCTGGGGAAGAACACCCCAGGCAGAGGGATGAGTGTGGGCTGGGGTGCTCAAGTGTAACCAGTCCACAAGGGCAGCATGTTCCAAAAGACCCTAACAGATAGCTACTGTATGTCGGGCCATGCTCAGAAAAGCCACCAATAACTTTGTAAAAGGCTTTTAAAAAATACTCCATTTAGTTTTTGAAACTAGAGACTTTATCTGATGGCATAAATTAATAATAAAACTGCTTATAAGAGAGCTATGTTTCTAATGTAGGACTTGAAAAAGACAGAATGGTTTGGTCCAGAGAACATTCCGGTGTATCAATACAAAATAATACAACAACAAAAACTAGGTAAGTTTAGAAAGTTTTTGCCTCATTTCGGTGCTCAGTAAAATGGTCAATTCTTCTGTTGGTTCAGGGTTCACTCACTTGAAAAGATTTGCTCAGCTGGCTCAAATGAAGAAGTTAATACCATAAATATGAGTTAGAGTTGTGAGTTTTTTTCCCTTTTACTTTTCTGGAGTTGTTCCTAAGGTGGAATCTCCTTATGTGTGTGGCCTTCAAATCCCACTGAGAGGAAACATTCAACCCCTCCTCTGAGAAGCAAGTCTTGTAGAGAAGGCTCAACTTCCAACATGGATAGCCCACTGTGTTTCAGATGTTGAGGATTCTATGTAGCAAATGGAATGTTCTGACAAGTTTCTGCTAAGGCCCAGGAGAGGAGACAGGGTGGGCTAAGAATGGCCACCATCTGGAATAATGAGTCACCCATCAACTAGACACCAAATTTCCAAACCAACGGAATACTCATGAAAAAGATTTATGTAGTTAGAACTTGATGAATGATAAAATTAAGTACTTCCAAGAATGGAATAAAATATGCTTTCTCTGGTCTATTTACTGTTCTCTTTTTAATTTTAACTTCATTTGAATTAGTTTGAATATGTATTATAGTCACATGGTTCAAAATTCAAAAAGTACAAAAAGTGAACAGTGGAAAGTCTCCCTCCTATCTATGTTGCCAGCCCTCCACTTCCTCTACTAGAAGGCAAGCAGTGGTCTAACTTCTTATGGAATGACCTTTCTTCTAGGGGAAGCAGGCCACTCTATAAAATCATGGGCTTTGGACCCTGGGTGAGTTATTTAATTTCTCTGAGCCTCATTTACCTTATCTATAAAATTCTTACCAGATGGAAGTTAAGGATTAGAAGTATTGTATGTAAAGCACCCAACAAATAGCCTGAAGTGGGGCTAAACACTGGTAGCTTTTATTTTTTGTTATTAATTTTTAGTGTTGTTCTGACATAGATTTCCTGGTCATTATGTAAAATAATGCTCTTCTCCTAACCTCTGGGAATAAAACTCAATCTAAGAGTGTCAAAGCTAGCTTTTGCCTTAACAGTTCCAATTCAGGACCCAAAGCTGAAACTTAGAGAAAAAGCCAATTCCTGTTTTATTCAGTGAAAGTAGATACATTTGTATTGAAGCAACTGAAATTACTACAACCTGCTTTTAACATCAGGAAAATTTAAAATGGATTGTATTTAAATATAACATCTTACCTTCTCATAGTAAATACTTAGACATCCCAGAGCATAGACCAGGAAGAAGGCCTAGAAACAGAGCAAGCAGAAAATGCTCATTAGAAACTATTCCACATTCCTGAGAAAGAATTTTACAGATTGTCTTTGCCTCAAATAAAAATTCATGTCCTTGAATCTCCATCAAGTAATCACATATTTTTAACAGAAATGGTTCATACAAATTTTCAAGGATTAAAAAAAAATCTATGAAAACATAAATGTCACAGACTGGTTTAAAATCAGTAAAAAACACCCACTCTCACCACTTTTATTCAACATAGTATTGGAAGTCCTAGCCAGAGCAATAAGGCAAGAAAAGGAAATAAAAGGCACCTAAGTTGGAAAAGAAGAGGTAAAGATCACTATTTGCACATGACATATTATACATAGAAAACCGTAAGGAATCCACCAAAATACTATTAAAACAAATAAATAGATTCAGCAAAGTTGTAAGATATAAAATAAATATAAAGAAATCTGTTGTTTCTATACACTAATAATGAACTATCAGAAAAAGAAAATTTAAAAAATCCCACTGACAACTGCATCAAGAAGAATAAAATACCTAGGAATAAATTTAACCAAGGAGGTGACTTAATAAATGATAATCCTTGATAATCTTTAAAAGAACAACGTGGTTTGAGAGCTACTTTAGTTTTACCCAGATCTAAATCTAGAGCTTTTTGAAGGTGAAGGTGGTTATGTGCCCACCTCAGTCACCATGGTCCAGCTACCTGCTCCTGCCTGGACTCTCTGCTCTTACTTGGTCCCTCGTAGTTCGCTCTCCACAGGAGGCAGAGTCATTTTCTTAAAATATGACGAGGTGGCTCCCATGACTATAACTCTCCAAAGGGCTTTATTGCATTCTTGCTTCCTATCACCTGCAGCCACTCCATGTCTGACCACCAGTCTCTCTAGCTGCCTTGGCTGACTCAACACACTAAGCTCATCTCTGCCTTCGTAATTGCCCTGCTTCCCATATCTGGCAAAATCTGTCCCGAACTCAAAGGACACTTCTCAGAGAGGTCTTCCCCAACCACAATGTTTAGGTAACCCCATCCTGACTGTCTTCTTGCAAAGAGCACTTATTTTATCTGAAAATATCCCTCTTATATGTGTCTTTACAAATAGAATGCAAACTCTGTGAGAGCAGACAGGTCTAGAAAGGCATGTAGCACACTGTGGGTGCTCAGAGCCATATTGAATAAGGAAACAGGTCCCCGGATCCTGCCCTTGGTTCAGGCCCAAACTGCCAGAGCCACCTGAAGCAGACCGGGCTCTTTTAGCTCCTTTCTCCTCAGTGTGGACACTCTGTCCTATCTCTCCTCTCAGGTACTAGTGATGGCCTCTCAGGTATCCAACAATCTTATTCTGACCTTTACTCTTCCCATGGCCCACTTATTAATACAGAATACCTTTCTTTCCCCCTCAGATGGACACCAATTGTGGCCAAAAGCTGCAATGGAAAAGACAAAGTTGGTTCCTCAAACAGCCAAGCCCTTTTTTCCCTTTCACTTTCTCACTGCTTGGTTCAGAACAGTGTAACGGGAAGAATGAACTCTGACACATGATAGACCAGGGATGGAGTCCTCATTAATGGCCAGGGCCTTGGAAGTCGCACTTAAACTCTCCTACTCTCCTAACTCTCCTTTACTCTCCTATAAAATGGGAATAATAATGTCTTCTTAAAGCTTTAATGAAGTTAAATCTCATAAAGATTTAAGAAACTCTGCAAAGCACCTAACTGCTCAATTCATTTTAATGCCCCCTCTTTCTAAAAACCCTTTAGATGTTGCAGCCTGTAAAAGTTCAATCCAACTTTTGCCTAGCAAGAAATTCCTTCCTCATATCTGTTAGAATTTAAGTTCTTCAAAAATTTTCCACTATTAGCAAACATTTCCTTAAGAACTGATGAAACCAATGCCTCATTTTTATTGACCTGAAATGGCTTTTATGAATCAATGCAAACTGATCTTAGGCACTTATTACAGATGGAGAGGATCTTAACTCAACTGAGTTGGTTTTATTTAGAATGAAGTCATCAGTAGACTGGGGAGGTCTGTGGAGGCTGGTGATTATGTCCCTTGAGATCTCACTGATAAGTCTTTGCTTTGGTAGCTCTAATAAGATAGAGGGATGAGTTGAACAATGATTTTAATGCTGTATCGCTAAACCCACACAAGGCCCAAATCACTGTAACAGAAGAATAGCTATCAGTAACAGATCTCGGAGAGGCAGACCTTTAAATCAGCTCTGGTAGTGCCATTCAATTGCTAAAAAGAACTGCTGTAAGTCACTGTAGCAGGGCTGCTTGTGTTCCTGACATTTATGGAAATACATTAAAATGTTCAAGTTGTGTGCCGAACATGGGTGATCCTTTCAAAGAAAGTCTGCCAAACAGAAGTGAGAAGCAGGGCCAGGTTTAACTGCATGTTCCTTGAAAACTTCTGCAACATGTCTCTGGAGTGTTTTCAGGAGCCAAACAGCTTCCAAGAATGCAGAGCAACCTCATCTGCTACCTCCTATTACTCTCGCCTTTTTTCAAGGAGTGTGTGGAAGGCTTTTTATTTGTCATTAAAAGCATCAACTGGTCACCCACCTGGGTCAGGAAGGTTGAAGCTCCAGTTTCTACCCCTGATATTCTCTCCAGGCCTACTGCTGCCACCTCCCAGAGTTGAGAGGCTAGGAGGGTCCTCAAGGGTCAGCCCTCCAGCCCACGTTCTTACTGATGCCAACTCTGGTTCCTGCCACCCCCCTAAATCACTGCCTGCAATGTCCCGGGGCCACCATGACCCAGCTCAGACTCATGCCTGTCACAATCTAGCCTTCCCTTGCTGTCACTTCCAGGGCTGAGCTGCATGATGATAGAGGACCTAGAGCCCATGCCGTCCCCTGTGTCCGTCTGGCAATCCCCTATTTATTCTTTTAACATCTGCAGGTATCACCAACTCTGTAAAGTCTTTCCAGCTAGCATGTGTCCCTTTGGACTCCATCAATTTCTATGCAAATTTCATACCTGTACACATCCATTTAACAAGTAATAAGCACCTAATGGATGTGAGGTATTGGGTATAAGGACACAACAGGAGCAACACTTGGGACAAGATGTGTGTGTGAGTGTGTGTGTGTGTGTGTGTGTATTGATATCGCACTATATTTATCACACTGAACTATAATGATTTCTGGGCTGTTTGGGGCCAGAGCCGTATTCTATTTACTCCTGTATTACTAGTACTTAGCCCAGTGCCTGGCACACAGTAAACACCCAGTGAATACCTCTGCAAAATCCTGACTGCATATACCTAAAACTGGAGAGAAAGAAAATACATTCAGAACAAATGGAAGCACTAAATGTTATATAGAGGAGATTATGCTTTAAAATGAGCAGTTTTCTTACAAATTTCCCAGATTCATGTTTGTTGGATTCATACTGGTAAAACAATTTTTTATTGCTATAATATTATATACCTACTATACTTAAATTAAAAAATACTGTTGTGAAATAAAGAGTTCCAATTAGCTACTAAACAGGGTTTTTTTTCCTTCAAAGGGTATATTTTCTAAAAATTTCCTGAGCTACTAAATAGTTTTTCAAAGTAACTTGGTAACGATGCTGATGACAAGAGCAGGCACTAACACTCGCTGAGCATATACTATACACCAGGCACTGAGCTGAACCCATCACATGCACAATTTACTTTCCAGAGCACCTTATGAACAAGGGTTATGTGACCCTCATTGTACAGAGAAGAAAGCTGAGACTCAGGGGATGTTCTACATACGTGCTGTCCAACACAATGGCCACTAGCTATATGTGGCTATTGAGTATTTTAAAGGTAGCTGGCACAACTGAGAAACAGAATTTTGAATTTTGTTCAGTTTTAATTAATTTAAATTAAATATAGCCACACACAGCTAGAGGCTACTGTATTCAACAATAGACTAAGTGTTCTCGTTTGTAAAATGAGATGAAGTAAATAATTCTAAACATCCTTTCCTATCTGAAAGTCTATTCTTTGTACCTATGGCTTCACTGCAAGGAAGGAAGTTCAGACCAAGAGATCAAGAGACTATGGAGACACAGTTACTTCCCTGTTAACACAGCTATGAAATTACCCATGCGGATGCATTTAACAAGTACTCCTTGACACCTACGTACACACCAAGAACTACTGCAGAAGCAAGTTATCCAAGCCAGACAAGAGCACTCCTGGAGAGGAGGCATAATGCCCTTGGGCATAAGACTGTGGAAGGGGTGTCATCCTCAAGGGCAGAAAGGACATTTCTGCGTACAGTATAAGTGTAAGCAAAAAAAGGGAAGGGCTGAATGTCACATGAACACACGCTAGAGGAACTCCAAACTGGAGGAAAAACATGATGTGGTTTTTAGGAAGTTATGCTTTTAGCCAACTTGTGAGAAAGTAGCTACTGTGTTAAATAGATCCCGTATTAGTAATTCTGCAGAAAGAAATACCTTGAGTGCCTTTGGTAATTAGCAGTCATCACATGTCTTGAAGTGCATCACAGCTTACTGGAAGTTGGTGAAATTCCACAAATACACTAACAACCACTGAACTGTACACTTTAAATGGGTGAATGGTATGGCATGTGAACTCTATCTCAATAAACTACTGTTTTTGAACCCAGTGAAAATTAGTAATACTTGGCCAATCTAAAATTTTGATGTGTCAAGAAGTGCTCAGACAAACCTCTTAGAACCTCTGAGGAATGATATACAGAAGCCCCCCCAAGGCACATCTCGAAATTGATAAAATAAAAGCTAAGGAGTGAAATTTAGGCAGGTCTAGTCTGGAAGCTGCCCAGGGTGACCTAATACCTAATTGTGATATTCATTTACTGATTACTCAGTTACTGAATTATGTACAGAGTTGCATTCTGAGGTAGACTCACCTACACAGTCTTGCCCAGGCCCAGAGACCAGTGGCTGAAAAGACAACAGGCTGGAAACATACCTCTTCTAGGCCGAGTTGCAAATACTCAAAGATCCTATATGGGTTTCTTCTGCATATTAGTATCTTTTCTTGTGCCAACTGAAGAGAAAGAAGTGAAATACATACATAACAAATGGAAGCACTAGATGTTATATAGAGGAGATTGTATTTTAAAACAAATAATTTTCTTACAAATTTCCCAGATTCCCATTTGTTGGATTCATACTGTTAAAAAGTATTTTTTTTGGTTATTTATGTGCAAAAAATTTTGGTTTTGTACTATTAACATTTTATTTTCTTTCTTCTTGTCCCATGAATTTTTCCCCTAGTGGTCATGTTGTTGATTTTATGTTTTGCTTTTTTTTCACTGTACCTCACAAGCCTGTGCCCAGGCTCTTAATGAGACATCATAAACCTCATTTGAAAGGCTGGATAACATTTCTTCAAGTGCGTGCTTCATATACTACTACTTAACCATTAGGTTGTTTCTCATTTTTAACGATTACAGATAATTCTAGGGCAACCCTAACAGTGCATCCCTTAATGAAGTGGCTGTGAGTCTGCTTCCCAGGCTTCTCTTGCGACGGCTGACCCCCACACCAGAGACCCGCCCCCGCATCCATACGCAGGACTGTGTGCGATCACCGCTGCGTTTCTTCTTCTCCCACACAAAGGGGGATTAATGGACCTGCTGTAATTTGTATGTTTTTAAAATGTTAAGTTATTCACAAACTAAGGTTTTAGTGAAACAGCTCTCCCAATTACTGAGCCACAGCGCAGAACCCAGAGCTTGCTGGTTCCCCTGGAGTGTCTGCAGTGTGGTGTCGTGACCTCCTCTCACATAAACTGGGTGCTTAATACGGGCCTGCTACCAGTTCCAAGTGAGGGACATCCAATTAGTCAGTACCTCCTATGAACCAGAAACAGATGGCTTTGAAAGAAGTGATTTATTTTCTCCTACTTACTTCATCTGGGGCATCATCCCTCTCGCTCACATCATCACACACGACTTCCTCCACCAGCACATACTCGTCATCAGGGCCTCTCTCTCTGGCACAGAGACCTGCCTGTTGGCTGCTGTCCCGAGTGCCACCATGGGGCAGGAGAACACCTTGTTTGCCACAATGGACTTGGGGCAGAGCTGCAGTGACCTCTAACACATGCTCATCTGAGCCATTTGCAGTTAGTGGGTCATGCCCACGGCCTTCCTGAAGGCAGCCTGATTGCTTGCTGGGATCCTCAATATCATCTGACTTTCCCGAGTCCCCATTTATCACAGAAAGTGTCTCTTTATCCATGGTGGCTTCTGTTTTGGAAACTATTTCAGAATTCGGCTCATCAGGCAATGGAATGTCTTCATTCCTTTTGATGTAAAAATGCTCAAGTGGTTTTGTGTAATCTTCAAGGATTCTATGCACTGTACTCTCATCATGAGCCTGTCTTTGCATGAGCTTTGTGGCCCATTCTACACTACGCTGATACCTGCAAAACAGAGATACTATTAGTAACAACACTTGAATTTCTGTATTTAAAAGTCAACAAAGTGCATAAAAAAGATGGGAAGGTAGCATGCCAAAATGTTTACAGTGTTTTTTCTCAATGGCAGGCTATAGGTAAATGTTTTCTTTGTACTTTTCTGCATTTTCTAACTGTTCTGCAATGAACATGTATTACTTTGTTTTTATTATAGAGCTTCATTTAACTTGCTCAACTGGAAAAAAATTAACCTCAGTTTAACAAAGTATGAACACTTATGTAATTTAAAACTGGTAGACCAAATGATTTAGGTAAATATAATACAAAAAGAAAATGGCCATTCTTTGTCATAATTTGTTCTGTATTATCTTCAATTTAGGTATCACATTTTCAGATACATATCCCACTCATACCATAAAGAGCCTTTGTTTAGTACTAGAAAGCAAAAAATGAAAAATGCAGTAAATATTTTCACAGTATCTCCTAATGTCTCCAGTGCACATGAAAAAAAATGTATATGGTTATGTACACACAGCCAAGCATCCGAATAGAAATGGCTCCTTCTTCCATAATAATTTTTAAACTATATTTTAAGGTAAAAACACACGCTTAGTTTCTTAACCTTGAAAGTAAGTCTGAACACTTCCTCGTTACAAAAAGTTACAGTAAGACAACAGAGCTCTGCCCTGGTTAAGAAGCGTCAATACCGAACAATGCTGCTGGGATACACTCACAGGATGCGAGGCCACCGCTACTTGTGGGAAATCTGATCAGCAGAATGCTGAAGACACGGTAAAACTCATGCACTTTTGCCTCTACCTATAGCAGCAAGTATAAAAAGCACCTAAGAAGACAACTGGCTTGTAAAAGGCAAATGTAATTTTATACTTCACCTTGAGTATTTTGTCTGTGTATGGAAGACTGAATATGTCATAGCTTATAAATAAACTGCTACATCTCACATACAGTTCAACATGGAAGTTGGCTTCTGTTGTATTTAAAAAAGATTATGTGGCTGCTTAATCCTGATTCATCAAGAGAATCTCTAAGCTGTTGACATCCTGTTTATCCTACATGGGGATGAATATGCATTTCTATAGATTGGAAATGGTATCTTAGATTTAAAAATTAAAACCTGGCAAGGCTCCTCTAACACCAAAGCAGCAGGAGGATGCAGTGACATACATTTTGTGTTCAGCCCTGTCACTTATAATCGTGTGACAAGACCAATTACCTAACTTCTTTGTGCTTCAGTTTCTCTCTAAGCCAGGGTAAATACTGCTACTACCTCAGAGGAATCATGTTCTGTGCTACTTTTTATAATCAGGGCAAAAGAAGTAGTTGCTCATATAACAGTGAGATGTCTTTCACTCATAGGAAAAGTCATTGTAGCATGCTGTTTGAAGAGAACTTTCACTTGAGAGATCTAGAAAGAATCTATGCTCTTCAGATCACCTATGCAGGGATGTCCAACTCATTTTCACCGGGGGCCACATCAGCCTTGCAGCTGCCTTCAAAGGGCCGAATGTAATTTTAGGACTGTAGAAATGTAACTACTCCTTAACTAGGGGCAAAGAGCGCTACATTTGGCCCTTTGAAGGCAACCACAAGGCCGATGTGGCCCCCAGTGAAAATGAGTTTGATACCCCTGACCTACAGCATTGGTTCTATGGCTTTAGGGGTCTGTGAATCTTCTTTATTTGTACACGAATTTTCCTGTCAATGTATATTTTTCTGGGAAAGGGAACCACAAGTTTTAATCAAATTCCTGCATTCAAAATATATGAAAGAACCACCGAATTAAAGGTTCAGTAGTCCCTCCTTTGAGCAGAAGATCTGAAACTGAGAGGGAGAGCACACACACACAGGTCACTGCTCTGCTCTTTGCAAAAGAGTGGGGAAGGCAGATGTGAGCTCAAATCCAGGGATAACTACCTTCCTCATGGGGCTGTTGCAGGGATTAAAGGAGACAAGACATGTAAAGTGCTCAGGACATAATAAGTGCTCAATAAATATTTGTCACTATATAATTGTGGGGTTTTTAGGGAGACTTGAAATATAAAAACATTTTGACTAAATATATGTCACATTAAAAATGCACACCTTAATTACCATATTATGCTGTGTATAATGTGCACTTTTTTTGCCCAAGTATTTAAGGGGAAAACAAGGATGCACATTATATATGTGTAGTACCTGAAGTACCTTGTATCTGTTACATTTTGTAATTATGTTACATAAAATTTCTTGTACCGTATGTTCAAAAATAAATGCTGAAATTCCTTTATAATACAAAAAACAAGTATCTAAATATAAATAGATAAATAATTTAATTAAAAAATTAAAAGAAAAGTTTTTCCTGAAAGTTTGGGCCAAAAATGTGGGTGCACATTATACATGGCAAAATACAGTAACTGCTCTTTGTGAGCAAGAGCAGCCATGTGGCGAAAACCGCTGCACCACATCTGGGTTCTGGAGTTGGCTCTGCTGTGATTCTCAGTTAAGCCACTTAGCACCTCTAGTCTCTTTCTGTTTTTCTGCCAAATGCCAGAATCGTGCCTGCATTTCTGTCTCACGATGACCTCAGATGTTCGTTTATGAAAGCACAAATGAGACAGTGGCTGCCAAAGTATGTAGAAGAAAGCCTCTGAGTAAGACTGGTGATGAAAACAGCCAGATGCACGAATGACTAAGACATATGGCACATGGGTCACAGAACAGGAATCCTCTAATTGGCTGGCAATGCTTTCAAAAGCCAAATCCTACTGAGGTTAACCCCAAATACTGCTGGAAAAACTTCAGGAAGAGAAAAGTGAAAGTCAGAAAACATAAGGGGGAGTGAGGCAGAAGGAAAAGGCGGCAGCAGCTCTGATGGGAAACAGTGATGAGACTGATGAAAAGCAGCGGGAACACAGAACGGTGCCGCTCGAACATCCTCATCTGCTTGTGTTTCTGTGCCTTGAGCGCCTCTCTCACTTCCACAGAATGCCCTTCTCTACCGTCTTATTAATGCCCATTTATCACTGAAAGTTCACAGCAAAATGTTTTTTTAATCCTTATCTGAGTGTATGTTCATTGATTTTAGAGAAAAAGGAAGGGGGAGAGAAACATTGATTGGTTGCCTCCCATCCTTGCCCTGACAGGGGATTGAACCCGCAACCCAGCTATGAGCCCTGACTATAACCATTTTGTGTAGTGAACAACGCTCCAATTAATTGAGCCACCTCGCCATGGTGCAAAAGGGTTTTGGGTCAGTCTGTTTGGGTCCAAGTACTGGTCTTAACCAAGTTACTTAACCTCCTCTGCTTGTTTCCTCACCTGTCAAAGACAGGATGTACCTCATGGGGTGATGGAAGGACTTAGGAAGACAATCCATATACTTCTAATTAGCATGGTACCTAGTACAAGGAACATACTCAAGAAATGACAGTACGTAAAACTATGTCATTCTCATTCTGTGTCAACTCCCTTCAGGCTCTGGAGCTGGACTTCCTGGTTTAAACTCACGTAATCTTGGGCAAGATAATCACGGATTCCCATGTATGGGATGGAAATGACTACACCTACCTAAAATGTTTCTTAAGAAGATGAACTGAGATGATAAACAGTTATACAGACAGTAACTCGCACTGCTGGAACAATCACTGCCCTTTGGCTATAACGATGATAATGGTGGTGTTGGCTACTACCAGAAGCTACGATGAGGCATGGAAGGATCCTCCCCTAGAGCCTCCTGAGGGAGCATAGCCCTAGTGTGCCTTGATTTTGGATTTCTGACCTTCAGAACTGTGAGAATAAATTTCTGTTCCTCTAAGCCATCTAAGTTTGCAGTACTTTGCTTATGGCAGCCCTAGGAAACTAATACAAGAATTGATAAAATTCTTGGAATATTTCAATGAAGAGCTTACAAAGGAATAACCTACAGGGAGGCGACCATCTCCCCCATCCAGAACCTTACATGGTCAAGCTGGCTTAATGTCAGGTCATCTTTCCTGCCAGCCCAATCAGGACGCAGTTCTGAGGGGCGGGCTTCTGATCTGTTTCCGAACATTTGCGTTGGCTGCAGTAACCTGCCGATACTGCAGCCCTCCTGGGATGGGGTCTTGGCCAGGTTCTTAGCAGGGCCCTTTTACAGACTGGAGCCTACTCCTGTGCCCAGCCTGTGGTTTCAGCCAAAGCAGCCAATGAGATCTCCCTGGTGCCACTGCCTCCTGGACCCTCCTTTGGCTGTGGGGTTATTGGTCATGTAAACAAAAAGGAGCTATCAGATTCTGCCAGTGTATGCAAAAGCAAGATGAGAAAACACTGTGGGCTTCAGTGGCTTTAAAAGCCTTCCTAGATGAGTCCTGGCTGGGTAGCTGAGTTGGTTGGAGTGATGTCCATACATCAAAAAGGTTGCAGGTTCGATTCCAGTCAGGGCACATACCTAGGTTGTAGGTTCCATCCCCAGTGGGGCACATATGAGAGATCAATGTTTCTTTCTCCCATTGATGTTCCTTTCTCTCTAAAAAAATCAATAATAAAATATCCTCAGGTGAGAATTAAAAAAAATTTAAAATAATAAATAAAAGAATAGAATAGAATAAAAGAAGAAAATAAAAGAAGAAAATAAAATAAAATAAAATAAAACGATTCCTGAAGAGTTGCAACTCAAGCTTCACCTCAGGGATGATGAGGATTTAGACAGGTGATCATTAGCCAAGAAGATCCTATGACGGAACCACTAAATGCTGGGGCTCCCAAGAGGAACCAGGCGTGATCCCTGCTCTCCAAGAACTGACATCCTAAATCTAGGTATATGATGAACAGTACAGTGAGGGGCACCAAAGCAGACTCCCTGGGAGCTGGAGGAATGACTCCTAACTCAGGGGAGGGGAGGGTGATAGTGAGGAGAGAAACTCTGAGGGCGACAGTAAGCTGTATGTGGAATGTGCAGAAACAGCCAGGCAGTGTGTGTGTTTGCTGAGTTAGGGAGAAAGGTTCCAGGAAACGGGAACAGTGTAAACAAGTGCCTGGAGGAAGGAGTCACACTGTGTGAGTGGGTGAGGAAGACACTCTGTGTGAAATCTTCCTTCTCTAACCCTGCAAGTGTAAAGCAAGGAAAGAGGTCAGGGCCATGCGTGCCCCCCAGCACAGGAGGCCAGTTCTAAATGTAAGTCTAAGCATCTTAGCACTTAAAGATCTATACATGACTGGGTAGTTGTTTGTTCATATTTTGGAAGGAATTCAACTTGCAAAGGATTTGGTTTAGGATTGTTTTAAAAAATTAAGTTAGCACATTTCAAATATGATTTGATTCACATTAAATTTAGACCATTTTTGAGGACATATCTACTTGAAAAAAAAAAAGGCAGGAGCTACCACATCAGAAAAGGTTATCTAAAAATAAGACCTGAATTGTCCTGGCTGGGTTCTTAGTCGGTTAGAGTGTCATCCCAATAAGCCAAGGTTGCAGGTTTGATCCCAGGTCATGGTACATACAAGAGTCAACCAATGAACGCATAAAAAAGTGGAACAACAAACCTATGTGTCTGTCTGTCTCTCTCCCCCCTTCCTCTCTCTCTCTAAAATCAATCAATGAAAATAAATAAAAATAAAAATAGACCTGATTTAAACCATAATTTTGACCAAGGTCAAAGTTCACCATGACTTACTTCTTTGATGTGATTATAGGCATATTTGTCTTCATATCTGTAACAACAAAGAAGTTCTATTAATTCGGACAAAATTTCCTTAAGGAGAAAAAAACACTAAAAACCTAGAGAACACTAAGAGAATTTCAAAATTCACCAAATCATACCCTTAGAAGGCTGACTGTCCAACCAGCAAGAGCAAACAGGTGTTTTACATGCCATTGCTCCATGCACCCAAACCCCTGGCAGGTGTAGCTGACCAATCAGAGCTTTCGCTGGGCTCAGGTGTGACCTCAGAATCCTTCTCAACTCAACATTCTAGCTAAGCAGCAATGGCATGCAGGACGATTCCTTTCTGCCACCTCTGAATGCTCATGCTCTCAACTTCCATATCAGAATACTTAGGCCCTAAAGTTACCACACTTTACCCCTATTACCCTGTGCTCCATAAAGCATCTTCAGTGAAGGCTGTGCCCATAAGAAACAGTTGTTAAAGTAAGTTTCATGGCGGTGTTTGGGTATGGACTTGGGAGTTTTGGGCTCTACTTCTAGCTCTGGGCACCTAGCTGGAAGAGTCTTTCCACCTAAAATGTTTATTGGGTCACCTAACGGTGTAGGTCTTAAGACGACATGGATGGACCTAAAGGGTATTGTGCTAAGTGAAATAAGTCAGACAGAAAGACAAAGATCATATGATTAACTCATATGCATCACCTAAAAATGAAATAAATGAACAAACAAAACAGAAACAAACTCACAAATACAGGAAATAAACTGATGGCTGCTGGATGGGAAGGGTTTTGAGTGGCTGGGTGAAAAAGGTGGAGAACTGAGAAGTACAGACTGGCAGTTACAAAATAGTCATGGGGATGTAGAGTACAGCAGAAGGAATAGGGTCCATAATACTGGAATAACTGTGTGGTGTCAGAGGGGTGCCAGACTTGTCAGGGGGATCACTTCATAAGGTGCCGAAGTGTCTAACTGCTGCGCCGTATACCTGAAACTAATATAACACTGAACGTCAATTGTAATTGAAAAATAAATAACTATGTATTGTAATACACACAAAAAACACTTTGGGCAAGTCATTTCTCCTTTCCCAAATTCAGCCTTCCCTCAGTGGATTACAGGCTTAAAATAGAGGATGTTCAGCTTGAAAATCCCATAAAAAAGACTTCACAGACCCACACCCTGTTAGGAATTTGTCAGTTTTCTCAGTGTCATGGTCTCTCTCCTCTGGTAATTTAACAACAAATAAAAATTTAGCGAGTTTTACTCATAGCCTTTTATGTGCCAAGCATCAGAGATATAGAAGTAGTAAAGCAAATATCCTTTTCCTGAGGTATAGGAAAAGGGTAGTTAGTCTAGTTAAGGAGGTAGAGCAGAAATGAAGGATTCTAACCCAAGCTGATTTGTGTCAGTAAAGGGTTAGAAAGGGACTGGTTAACTTGCCTGGAGAGTTAGGAAAACCACAAGGGAGAAGGAATGACTGAGCTGGACTCTGAAGAGCAGGAGTTTGCCAGGTGGACGGGGACGTGGGCAGAGGGAAGCACCGCACAAAGCCTGAGCTGCGGGTTCCTGCGATGGCAAGCAGCCCCAGGTGGCCGCAGGGCCAGCCAGTGAGTGGCTAGAGGGCAGGGTGGAAGGTGAGGCTGAAGCTAGTGTTTGAAGAATTTCCTCAAGCGGACATTTGGGATTTACTTCTTTAGGGCAGCCCACAACCTTAATTTGTTTCCTTGTCATAAATTCATTTCCTTCACATTTCTATCACCATTTAAAACTTAGCTACTACATAGACAGAAAGAGATTAGTAATTATTGAGATTATTACACTACTTGAAAACCTTTGATTTTTTTTGTCAAATATTAGTAACTGTCAAAGCTGGGTGATGAGTAGAGGCACGGCCATTATGTAATTTGCTCTAATTTTTGCCCCCTCTCCTTTTAAAAAGGTTATTATGAACACATTTTAAAACAGGAAAAAGTGAAGAGAATAGTAAAATAAATGCCTATGTTCCCATCACTCAACTTTAACAATGAACTCATGGCCAACCTTGCTTCATCTGTTTTTCTGCCTATTCCCATGGCCTCCGGATTATTTTGAAAGAGATCTCTCATAGCTTACCATTTCACCTTGAAATAGTTTAGTATGTATTTCTATAAGGACTCTTTCGTGAAAAAAACAAAACACATAACCATAATACCATCATTACACTTTTAAAAACTAATATTAATTCCTTGCATCATCCAAAATCTATGCATTGTCTCACAGCTTTTTTCTGTTTTGGAAAGTCTGACTCAAAATCCAAATAAGGCCCTACACTGCAATTGTTGATTCTAATATATAGGTTTCCCTGCTACGCTATTTTTGGAAATTCTTCTGTTGCAGAAATGGATCCCCTGTCCTTTAGGACTCCCCCATCTGGCCTCAGATGATCGCACTTGCCTTGTGCTATTAACACAGTGCTACTCCAAGGTGGTCATGGGCTCAACGGTTCAGGAAGAGATGAAATAACTGTCTCAGCACACTGCTTAGTTCAGCTCCCCTTGTTTTCACAGCCAGATTTTCATGGAGAAGGAAGCTGCAAGTGATTAAAGAGCAGTAGCTAAATGGAATGGAATCTATTTCCAATGTGGTGCAAAGGTCTTATGTTGCTGCATTTCAGTACTTGGAGCAGCACAGGCTTAACACATTCCTCTCTTCCCTGTGTCTCCTGGGAACTGGTGGAACTAGATGTTTGATCAGATCCAGTTCGATTTGGGGGGAAGCCTACTTCATAGGTAGTGCATGTGTTTTCATTAGAAGACACAAAATGACTTGTTGGGTCTATGTCATCAGCACCATTGCTGATCAATGCCTAGATTAAATGGTGATATTCTAATCCTGTTATTTCTTTGTTTATTAGTGGGATTCTTCAATAAAGAGAAACCCCCCCTTATCTGGTTACCCCAAGAACCAGTTCATATATGCCGGTTTTCAAAATGATGAATCCTCCATAGGTGAACAATGAATTTCTCCTGGCATGAACTACAGGATTCAAGCCCTTGGCGGGTGTTATAAGGAATGAATTTTAAAATAAATTGTAATATTATTCTTACTGATGCTCAAATGTTTCCATGGCCTTTTTTGAAAGATGTCTACTAGTTTTTGATTAGCTTCCTTGCTTCCTGTGTACAAGTTGTTTCACATAAAAAATCCTAGCTGCTGTCAACCACACCATCATAATTCCTCATTTGCCTAATCATATAATATTCATATAACAGTTTCAGCCTAACAGTAACAACACTACCACCCATTAAAATTACTGAAAGCAATATAAAGATTATTTTGTAGCCCTTTCTTTCTTTAGAGTATATGGCAGGTTGACTGCCCTGATTCTTCAGGTTTTCCATCTGCCAAACCAGCTGACTCTGAGCCAGTGAAACATGAGCAAACATGATGCAAGCAGAAGCCTGAAAAGCACTGGCACCCTGGGGCTTGCTCTTGACCCTCCATCATAACCATGAGAACATGCCTGGGCTAGCCCGCTGGAGGATGACACACAGGGTGCCCCCCGTCCTTCTTCCCAGTTGAGTGAATCCTAGACCAGCTGACAGCCAACCAACAGACCACCGGACACCAGTGAGTCTGGCTAAATCCATTATTGGACTGTGCCCATTAGACAGCTGACCCATGATTAGCCAGATGGATGAGCACATCCAGTCAAGATCAGCAGACCTACCCAGCAAACCTGTAGCCTTGTAAGCAACCTGGTTGCTACTGAAAGCCACTGAAATTTGGGGTGACTTGTTAAATACCATTGTGGCAAGAGGTAACTGACACAAAGTCTATCCCATTAGAATCAAACAGTCAAATTATCAAGTTTTGAAGTCATTCAGAATAGTTTCCCCCTTGTGGCTCTACTTTTTAAAACTGACTTTGTTTTGTTTTGTGTTTTGTCTTTGTTTTGTGTAACCGTGCAACACACTTACAAAGTTCCAAAGTCAAATCTATGAAGTCTCACCTCTCTTTCCATCCTGTTCCATCCTTCCCCGATAGACATTAAAAAATTATGATTTATCCTTCCTTATATTTCAAAAAATATTTATATTCCCCCATTTAGATAAACCATAGCATACTATGCAGACTTTCTTTTATCTTGTTTTCTTCACTTAAAAATATATCCCAGTATCCCTCATGCCCAGCTGCATAGTACTGCATTATATGAATGCACTACAGTTTATTCCACTAGTCCCCTCCTTATAGTCTTTTAATATTAGAAATAGTGTTGCAATGAATAGCCTTATGCTATTTCTTTCCATATTTTTGCTGCTATATCTTTAAGTGTTATTGTTTTTTTAAGATTTTATTTATTTATTTATTTTTGGAAAGAGGGGAAGGGAACAAGAGAGGGAGAGAAACATTAATGTGTGGTTGCCTCTCATGTACCCGCAACGGGGGACCTGGCCCACAAACCAGGCATGTGCCCTGACTGGGAATCGAACCGGCAACTCTTTGGTTCACAGGCTGGCACTCAATTTTATGATAAATTTCTAGAAGTGGAATTACTGGGATAAAAGTAAATACAAATGCTGGGACAACTGGATATCCACAGGCAAAACAATGAAACTGGCCCCTTAGTTTATATCATATATAAAAATTAACTCAAAATTGATCGAAGACCTAAATGTATGAGCTGAAACTATAAAACTCTTAGAAGAAACCAGAGGGGAAAATCTGCCTGAACTTGGATTTGGCAATGGCTTCCTAAATATGATACCAAAAGAACAAGCAACAAAAGAAAAAAAGTAGATAATTTGGACTTCATTAAAATTAAAAACTTTCACTGTTTCACATTCACTGAATGGCTATGATCAAAAACAAGAATAGAAAATAGCAAGTGTTGGTGAGGATGTATAGAAACTAGAAGCCTTGTGCACTGCTGAGGGGAATGTAAGATGGTACAAGCACTGTGAAAAACAGTTTGGTAGTTCCTCAAAAAATTAAAAAAGAATTATCACATGGCCCAGCAAGTCTACTCCTAGGGCTGTGTGTGTATATATACATGAGAAATGTCCACATATGTCCACACAAAAACTTGTACATGAATGTTCATAGCAGCATTATTCATAACAGCTCCAAAGTGGAACCAACCCAAATGTCCATCTTTAGATGAACAGAAAAACAAAACATGGAATATCCGTACAATGGGATATTATTCAGGCTGACATTCTGATATGGACGAATGCCCAAACACAAAAGTGAAAGACACAAAGTCTTTATAATGGGTGTTTCCACTTATATGAAATATGTAGAATGGGCAAATTCACAGACACGGAAAGCATGTTAAGGCTACCGGGATTCAGGAGGTGAGGAGAATGGGGAAGGGTGGGGGAGTGAATACATGTATAATTTTGCTAGATGTCGCCCAACTCCTCTCTGCAGCGGTTGCGCTGCCTGCACTCCCACAAGAAACACACGAGAGTATCTCAGGACCTCGCTGATGGGCAAACTTCTGGATTTTTGCCAATCAGACTGCTGAAATGATATCTCAGTACAGTTTTAATTTGTATTTTTTTTTACAATAAAATGTTTTTAAAATCCTCTCCAATTATGTTTTAACCTGCTGATTCTGGTTATGTAATTACCATGAGATTTCCCTAGAGAAATGTACTAGGTTAAAAGATTTATAAATTAAAGAAAAGTGGACCAGCAAGTGAGAGCTACACATATTACTATGTTTTAACAAACACATCAATATCAGCTATTGTTGCAAATTCTAATTCTAGAAAACTCATTTTGCATACAGGTGAATAGGTACCTAACTATCAGTGCCTTCCACACCCACAGTACTCCTCTAGGCAATGCTTAATAACAGAAAAGACTGAATAACAATTTTGATAATTTTAGAAATTAGATAAAACACATTTTTCACCCATTGTAAGAACCCTTTCACCTTTAGTAGAATGATCTTAGTTACTATTTTTTTAGCAGTAAAATTGTCAGTGTGCATCTCCTCTACTAGAATTTTACTATATAAGCTGAGGTGGAGGATCAAACATGAAAGAAAATAATTATCTGCCAAAAGAACTGAATGATGCACAAATTTACCTTTGTATTTAGCAACCAGCTTAGGATCTGAAATTGTGAAGTTTGGACGGCTTCTAGACAGGATTCCTTTTCCAAAATAACCCTTCCATGAAGAGAGAAAACAAAATTAGGGCACCTTTAGTTATCAATTTTTTAGCTGAAGGAGAATAGCTATTTGTGTTAACAAGAGATGTATTATTACATCTTCCCTCTGATTATCTAGCCATTACTAATGAAGGTTTCAGCTAGCGAGTTTTTAGTACGCCTCCTTTGTCTCATAACTCATGAGTTCAGTCTAGGTCTCATATGCTGAAGGCAGCAGGCAGGCAGAGGCAGAGGCAGAGGTAGGGATTCTTCTTCAGCAGCAGTGTGTCTAAAAGCAGGAGTCAAGGCTACCTGGTACGAAAAGCTTCTTGGCTTCTCCTGTATGCAGGATTGAAGTATTCCTTTCCTTCCTAATGATTCCAGAAACAAAATAGATTTTTCCCCTCCCATTTCTTAATTTAAGCCCACAGAAAATTGAGAGAATAATAAAATGAATACCTTTTATCCTTACCAAGATTTAACAATCAGAATAATGTGCATAGCACTTTATACATTTTATTAAAAAATATTTTATTTTTAAAGAAAGGGTATAGGAGTAAGAGAGTGTGACAAACATCGATGTGAGAGAGAAACATCGATCAGCTTCCTCTTGTACCCACCCCAACTGGGATGAACCCACGACCAAGGCATGTACTCCGACCAGGAACTAAACCAGTGACCTTCTGCTTTGGGGAATGATGCTCCAACCAACTGAGCCACACTGATCAGGGTATATACACTTTATAAAGCCTCTTGCTTAATGTTATATATTGCAAAGGTGGAGAGACTGTCCTTGGCTTAGACCCCCATTTCACCAGAGTCAATGCCACCCACTGTATCCCATTTTGGAAGGGTGGTTATAACCTATATATTTTCTAGAAACATCTAGAGAGGACACATTTGTAGAGACAGGGATTGGATGGGTGGTGCCTCAGGCTGAAGGTAGGAGCCGGGATGAAGTGCTATGGGCATGAGGGAACTCTGTGCTAATTGATGGGAGGGCTCTGAAATGGGTGGTTGCACAGCTCTATGAATTTACTACAATCACTGAACTGTACACTTACAATGGGTAAATTTTATGGCTGTAAATTATATCTCAATAAAGCTGTTTATTAAAAAGTGCCCCAGTGATGAACTGGTTAAGGGATGAGGCCAGGGGTGGGACAGCAAGCTACCAATCTCAACTCAAACCCATTATCAATGTAAAACAGCAAAAACGAGAATTTGCCCTCATCTAAGAAGAGGTTCCCAACTAGGAAGAAAGCAGATAAAGAGCCAGATCTGATCTGTCCATGAGTCAGAACAATATGCCACTCGGTGGTTACTTCTGGGGATGAAATGGGAGTGAAGTGAGGAAGTTGAACTTTTTAACCCTTAATTTAATTTCTGTAAGTTGCCTGATTTTTTTTTACAATAAATACGCATTACTTTTATCACTGAGACAAGAAAGTTCAATGTTACTGACCCTACTTCATTGCTGAAATGTGGGTCCAGAATGAGGGAGTTATCTTCACGATACATGGTTTCAGGGCCCCTGAGTCAAACAGTAGTGTTCTGACATGAGACCAAGCAGCAAGAGAAGAATATGAGTCATTTACAGTTTATTTATTTTGGGGGTGGATGGGGAGAAGAAAAGATAGCTGGCTCCAGGCTGCCGGGAAGTAGCCCTGCCAGGGCCTCCTATACTTACTTTCCCATACAGCTGCTCCATATCTTCTGCGTTTTTCACAATGACATTGTTGTTTATCATTTCGGCGTGGAACATTTTGAAATCTTTCTTAGGTCCACAGTTCTGATCAAAAGGGATTGGAAATGGAGATTCATAACTCTCATACACTCTTCTTTTCCTCTTTGGGGCATGGAAAACTGCTTCTGCCATTTTTCAAGTTCAACTATTCTTTAAAGAGTATAATGAAGAGAAAGAAACAGTCAATCAGTGAATACACTGATAAAAAATGTGAGTACATTGTACCTAGGCTCAGAAAACTTTGTGGTCTGTGGGAAAAATCAAATATTTATAAAGCAGTGAACTAAAAGACACAGTCATGAGAATTTTTTTTTTTAAGAAGTGCAAATCTTATTCACCTAGAACATCTCAATCAATTCCCACAACAGTGCCCAAGAAGTGGCATTATTTCTCACTATAGCTGACAAGACTGAGGCCTAGTGACATGCCCCGAAAGTCACAATGCTTTGCAAAAGTTTCCTGATAGCAAGCACAAGAGGATTTCTGCCTATTAGGATTACTCCCATTCTTTCACTCAGCCAACAGACTTTTAGCATGGACCTACCAGGGGCTCCTAGTATCAGAGGTGCTGGGGATGTCAATCACCTTCCAATTTTTAAGGTAAGCTGATGAATAACAATGGCAACAGCAGTTCCCAGTCAAGGGTCTATTATGCACTCCAGATGCAAGTGGCTAAGAGAAGGAACTCTAAAGCCAGCGTGCCAGGGCAGGAATCTGCTTCACTACCTCCTAGCTGTGTGATTGCAGGTAAAGGTTATTTAATCTTCCTGTGCTGTGGTTTCCTCATCTGCAAAATAAGGATAAAAATAAACTCTGTCTTATAGTTAAGACCCATAAAGTGCTTAGAAGAGTTTGTGGTTCATGCTGAGCATGATGCATGTATTCACTCTAAGTATTATTATGGAGTGAGCACTATTAACATCCTCATACAGAAAGGAAACAGATTCAGGTTTGAAAGATTATGTAAAAGACTCCAGAGAGGGGGGCACTAGACCATCCCGGGCCTGCTGAATGCCAGAGCTCTTCCCTCCGGGCTCTGCAGCAAGCACAGGTAGCACCCATCCCCTTTGGTCTGAAGGTTCACTCTTTCTCAAGGTTAGAAGCTAAAGGGTTACGGAGAATTGTGGAATTACTTACTGTGCACCCAGCACTAGGAGGGAGTAAAGGAAGCTGAAGTCAGTACCTCTCCCTTCCAGGCCTTATTCTCAGCCCGAGGAGACAAAACAAGCACCTAATGCACAACAGGCTGCAATTCAATAATGGCTAAAGGAAGGAAGTCAAGTTGAGTGTATTGTGCGATAAAGACACAGAGCTGTGGTAGATGCATTTAACTTAGGAAAACTCAACCATACGCAAGGGGGAAAAAATGTAAACAGTGCAAGAAATTGGGCCAGCCACTCTAAGCGACAAGCAGACGCCCTAGAGAAGGGAGGCTTGAATCTGCTGCTCCCTTAGTCCCAGGCCTGGATTTGATTTAAGCTGTGCATGTATCTGGTGCTTGAAGAAAGAGTGGAGCTATATCACACACATTTAAACTATGTGGCTCCAAACTCTCACAAAGAAAGGACTGATTATTTAGGTGCCTTCTGCATTCAGAACCAGCATCCCAATGGGCAATGGATGTAACCAAGCCTGTTACAACCAATGAAGGTGGCCAAAGCTGAGAAAGGAAGGTGAGTGGTTTTAAGGGTTCATGACAGTTAAAAAAAAATTAAAAGCTTTGCCCAATGTGTGATGTCTTTATCAACTCTCACAAGGAGGTTGAGGAATTAAATGAGGAAACAAACAAACAAACAAACAAACAGAAAACAAGAACAGACCAAGGGGAGTTAGAGAAATCGATAAATCAGTGACTAAGATAACTATGAAAAAGAAGTATCAGCACATTGGACCTTTGTAGAATTGCCAAAGTATTCTGAGCAGCAAACTGCTAGACTTCCTAAGGAAGAACCCTCACTGCAACCACACACCGAGAGCAACTGTGCACATTACACACTCTGAACAGCATTCACGACGAAAGGGCGTATGCTGCACATTAATGGTCAGTTGAGAGGTTTTCTTCCAAGAGCATTTTAACTAGGTTTTCACTTGCTGACCTATCCCCCAGCCCAAGCCAACTATTACATTTACTATTTGGTTGTAGAAACAGCAGTTTTTTCTAAAGCTTAAATAATACTGTGTTGGCTTTTTTTGAGGCAGGACATTGATCTTCGGTGAGGAACTTTCTAGGGATTTCCAGGAACAGTTCAGATTTTTATGAGGTTTTCACTTTTATAACTTAACTTCTGGTTAGTGTTTGACTTATATATACTACATTAGAATTTTTAATGCTTTAAATTTTTAGAAAGATCTTATTCACTTATTTTTTAGAGAGTAGAAGGGAGGGAGAACGAGAGGGAGAGAAACATCAATGTGTGGTTGCCTCCCACACCCCCTCACCCGGTGACCTGGCTGTAAGCCAGGCCTGTGCCCTGACGGATACTGAACCGGACTGAACCGACAACACTCCAGTTTGCAGGCTGGCACTCAATCCACTGAGCTGTACCAGTCAGGGCTGGAATTGTTTTTTTAAAAGAAAATACTGAATGGCTAACCTCAAGAACTTCCAATTAAATTACCTCAAACAAGCAAAACTGAAAAGTTATGCTTTAATTTGCCTGGTTTGTTCAGGATTTTCCCTTTCAGATTGCTCATGTAGTCTGAAAAAAGCAATACTGGGCTATGCCACTTGATAGTAAGAACTCTGTACTCAGACTCAAGCATGTGTTACAGGTTTCTTGCCACAAAAAACCCCCAAAACAAAAACAAACCCCAGTTTTTCGCAAAGCCTCCAAATCCATGACCTAGTGTTGTCTCTGCCCGTGTAACAGCATGCCCATCAAGAATCCGGCTCATAGTAGGCCTTCCATACATACAGAGATGCCATCATCATGATGTGACTGTCACAACCCACTTAAGCTCTCTGAGCCCAGCTTCTTCATCTTCAAACTGAACAGGACTGGAAAACAATCTGGAAGTTACTGTAATGTTAACTACAGAATAACCATATGATCCAGCAATTCCACTTCCTGGTATAGATACAAAAAAGAGTAAAAACATGTCCACGCCAAAGTCTGTATGTGAATGTTGACAGTAGTATTATTCATAAAAGCCAAAAGATGGAAACCACCCAAATGTCCATCAACAGATGAATGCGTCAACCAAATGTGGGATATCCACACAGTACAGTATTATCAGCAAATATAAAAGAATGAAGTACAGATACATTCTACAATATGCATGATGAACCATGACAGTATCATGCTAAAAGTAGCTGGTCACAAGACCACATACTGTATGTGTAAGACCATAATATGAAATGTCCAGAATAAGCAAATCCACAGATTCAATTAGCAACTGCAGGCGCGGGGGGAGGGGAGAAGTGTTGGTATGGGTTTATTTTGAGGATGAAGAAAATGTTTAAAGTCAGATTGCAGTGATGGTGATGGTTGCATAACTCTTGAATGCTAAAATCACTGATACATTTTACAAAGGTGAACTTTATAGTATGTGAATGACTTCTCAATAAAGCTGTTCTCAATAAAGCTGTTATACTTGACAGGACAAACCAGATGACCTCTAATTTTGTAGTTTTGTGGAAGAGCTGCCTTGTGTTGAACTTGGGAGGCAAGAGGAGAAAGGATTGAGTTTGCAACTCTCCAAACCTGCAATACACATTTAAGAAGTGCTGCTTTAGTGCCACAATAAGAGAACAGCATGATGGAAGATGTAGGATGCAAGTTAAATGAGAAGAACCAACCATGATTTGTAGGTACATGCTAGCACTGACTCTACTGTATGCTACACAGGTGAGTACTACTGTCCTGATTTCAAGGACCAAAAACCCGGACTTGGAGCAAGTTATTTGCCCAAAGCCCCATTGTTAAAGACACCAGGTTAATAATGCAGGGAGACAGGCATGGTTAAGACTGGCCTAAAAGAGGACCGCCGTCTAAAGCACACACAGATGTACAGGAAGGACTGCGTCAGTCATCAGGAAGTTTTTGAGATGTGAAGGCTGGTTTACACATGGAGCCACTGCAGATTATGACAACTGAAAAGAGATTAAGAAAAGTAACTTGGGGTGGCATGTAACAGTGCCTCTCAAGCTTGGCTGCCCTTAGAATCACCGAGGAAAATTAAAACTCCTAATGTCCTGGCCTTACCTGCACTTCTATCAGAAATTCTGGGGTGGGGCCCAGAATTTCAACATGTATCCAAAGTTGCCAACCACTGGTTATAGGATGGCCTATTCAAACACACTTAATCCCAACAGCTTCCCAAGGTAAATTCTATTACTATTCCCATTGTACAGATGAAGAAAGGGGCTCCGAGGGGCTGAATGCTATGTACCTGTAAGCTGTTGTTATTCTCTTCCCAAACCTGGGCATTCCTGATTCCAGACGCCCACAGTGTTAAATATATTTACTTTTCTATTAAAAGCAGGGCTTGTTCTTTATTTTTCCCTTGAGCAGATAAGCTAACACACAAGACAAAGCAAAACCGAAAGGGAGAAGGGAACTAGCTACATTTAATTTTCCAATTCCCTGGGTCCACCTTGCCTTAACAAGCCTGGTTAAAACTTCCCACACAGCAAAGTTCACCTTCTCCCAATTGAAAAAAAAAAAAAAAGTTTGAAATTCCAACTGCTTACTCCTGGGCCAGTGGAGACAGGGATAAAAGGGACGAGGCAATCCTGCCCCTGGGAAGCTGTCAAGTTAGAACCTAAGACTACTTAGTATAAACAAACAATAAACCTTTGAAGGCTGTTGTTAGGGTTAAATGGGTAACTGTGCAAATGCGCAAGGTACTGGGTCTACCATGGGGAAGTGCTAGCCAGACGGTAGTTGAAACTGCAATGAATGATAGCACACAACTCGAAAAGTGTTCCGGGCCCAACAAATTCCTAAATCTGTCTTAACTTATCCCTTTGCTAGTTTCCTTGAGCTCCCGCCATCCCCCAGCAACCCAACTAGCGGCTGAGGCTCCTCTAAGGAAGGGAGGGGTCGCCTGAAGCCCGACCTCCAGCGGCTGTGGGACGTGGCGTCAACACTTCCAGAAAGGAGAAAGAGAAGTACAAAGGGCCACAGGTGCACGGAGGAGGAAGCGAGGAGTTAATTCCGGCAGAACCCGGAAGCCTAGCTCCTCCCCCCGGCCCTGTTCCGGTCCGACTGTGGAACCCAGGGAAAGTCTTTCCGCCCTTTCCACTCTCGCTCTGGGGGGCTTTCGGAGAGGCCGTGTTTCCTCCTGCGGTGAAACCTCGCCCTTGCCCAGTACGCTTGAGCCACCACGCTCAATGCCCAGGCACGCGGCGCGCGCCTAGCACTGCTACCTTACCTTCATCGAGTCCACGCGCTCACCGTTACCCCGACAACGCCGGCGGGGGGGAGGGGCGAGGGCGGACACCGCTGCCGTCAAGTACTGCCGCCGCAAAGCGGGACGAATGCGCAGCCGCAGAGCCCGTGGGCACACCCACCGAATGTTCTAGGAGCACGCCTGCGCACATCCTGAAAAGGGGAGGGGCTTCTCCTGAGCACGGAAGTCGTCCCTCGTGAAGTGTGAAGCTTAGGCTGCATGTCCCCTTTCCTGAGTGCCACACGTTATGTGGACAGACTGCTGCGCGGCTGCTATTCTTGTTTAATTCTCAGGACAGTCTCGCATGACCCATTTTATACATGAGATCCGAAGTTACTTGTTCAATGACACATGGCTAGGAGGTAGTGAAGCCACGACTGGAGTCCAGGTGTTAAAGACTTGGAGTCCTAGCTCTTGGAGGGATGGGATGCTTGAGGCTACCGGACTTTGTTACGCGACCTCGGCCCTGACGCCGAACTCAGCTTATATTCAATGTATAAGCTGCAGCATTTGGGCTGTAAAGGAAGTGCCCTCTCGCAGGCAGCTGCCTAAAAGTCACTTGCACTGTCTGCCCTGTGCAGTGTAAAGGACGACAGATGGGGAGACAGACCTGCATTTGAATCTTCACTTCTTCAGTGTCATGAGTGACCAAACCATTCTGAGCCTCAGTTCCCTCATCTGAAAAACAGGTCGTCAGGATTATATGGGATAAGCAAAACAAAACTGCATTGGGAAGTGTAAAATTTCTTCCAACCTTTTTAGGAGGACTGATAGGGAGTCCAATACATATCTTCTCAAATATGAAGCCTAGGATCCCCAGCACACACACCACACACATATGTTGGGCAGTTGGGGAAGGTGGGTGACAGGGTGGGGCTAAGTGTGACTTTATTTTTTTTTTAAGATTTTATCTATTTATTTAGAGAAGGGAAGAGAGGGAGAAAGAGAGAAGTATCAGTTGGTTGCCCCTCACGCAACCCCCAACCAGTGCCTGGCAGCAACTCAGGCATGTGCCCTGATAGGGAAATCAAACTAGGACCTTTATGCTTTGCAGGATTATGCTCAACCAACTGAGTGGCACCTTCGGGGCTAAGTGTGAGTGTGTTTGAAATCTAGACCTTTCCTAAATTTCTCATCTCCAGGCCATGGAACACCCCGTTGCCTTTGCCCAGAACATCCTTCCCGACTCTGCTGCAGTAATTCCTGGTCACCCTTTAGGTCTCATTTCAGATATCTCTTCCTCCGGGAGACTTCGTCTTGCCTCTCCAGGCTGGCTTGGTGACTTTCCTCTGTGCTTCCTGTTTTCTGGTCCTCCTTAACTAGACTGTGGGCTCTTGGTAGAAAGAGCTCAAGACACCATGGACCTTAACTGCTCAGCTAAGGAGTTCAGACTTTAGAGAGACCAAAATCAGAATAGCTTCCTGTTGGGGTGTTGCAAAAAAGAACCTCAGCAAGATTCAGAGAAGAGTGGTATCAAGATGGTTTGGGCAGGGAAGAAGGAGCTGTGGGAAGGCTGTAATATTGCACCAGAATATGCCTATTTAGGAAATACTGGTTTTAGAATTAGAGGGTTTTAAAATGAAAGGCAACTCATAGGTTGTCCACTTCAACTTCCTTATTTAACTGATAAGACAAAAGGTTCAGAAGCACTCTGAGTTGCCAGAGGTGGCCAAGCAAGTCAGAGGGTTGCTGAGACCAGAGACAATCCCCTGAGGCTCAGCATGGTGCTCTATACTCCAGGGCTTGGGATTCCAGATTCCCTCACAATGGGGATCTCGGTACTGTCATCTGGAGCCCTGACCCCACAGAAGGTCCAGAATAGGTTACTGAATAAGATATTCTTTCCCCAAGATTTCCTCTCAATGTGTATTTTAAGCCTTTTGTTGTGGACTTTTTTCAAACATGCATTTGGGAGAGAGAATTATCTAATAAATCATCACTTCCACAATGTGGCCTTTGGTATCTTATTTCTTTTACGCTCTCCACACACACACACGCACACACCCTTATCCCACTGCTGGAGTATTTTTTTATAGACTTCTTTAAATGATTTTATTTATTTATTTTTAGAGAGGGAATGGAGGGAGAGAGAGAGAGAGAGAAACATCAATGTGCGGTCGCTGGGGGTCATGGCCTGCAACCCAGGCATGTACCCTGACTGGGAATCAAACCTGCGACACTTTGGTTCGCAGGCCGAGATCAATCCACTGAGCTATGCCAGCCAGGGCATTGGAGTATTTTTAAGTGATCCCAGACATGTAATTTCATTCAGAATATTTCAGTATGTATCTCTAATCTTTACATTTTATTATACACACATATATGTATGTACTTTATTTTGCCATGTTTAATGTGCTTCCATATGTAATGCACACTCATGTTTTTGGCCCAGATTTTCAGGAAAAATATCTTTCATTTTAATTTTTTAATTTAATGGTTTTATTTATTTATATTTAGAAACAAAACCAATTATAGTATTCCAGAGCACTCTTTTGCATACGGATATTGTCATTGATTTCTTGAGTTTTAACGCATAAGCATACATAAAAGAATTTAAAATATTTATAGATATGGAATTAGTACTACCCATGTATAATGCACATCCTTATTTTTCCCTAAAAATTTGGGCAAAAAAGTGCACATTATACACAGCAAAATACAGTATATATAAAAAGAGAATGTATGTACATATACAATTTTTATTATCCCCAAAGTTCTATAGAATCACTGTAACATTGAATTAGTAAATACTGAACCATTGCCCCTAGGGGAAATACAGGGTTAGGTTCCTGCTAGTCTCTGGCAACAATATTCATCAACCAATTAATAAATAAACTTATTTTGTGTGTGTTTCTGTTTAAAGATACTTTGTTTAATATCTATCGTTGATTCAATAACACTGTACTCATGACCAATATCACTACATCGCAAGCCTAAATGAAGCTCTTCTAACATGCATTTTCTCTGTAAGGCACAGCACAGCCTTTTGAGTCAGGAGCACTAGACAGCAAGCACTTCAGCACTCTGCTTGGGGTCCATTTTAAACAACCAAAATCACCAAAATCACCAGAAAGCACAAAAACATGAAAAATGTGGCACTAAAGAGACCGATAAAAAGCACACTTGTTTGTGGTATGAGAGCTGAAACAAGAATACAGAGTATCACCTGTTGACTTCGGCCAGAACGTGCATATTGAGAGACATGCATTTCACTCCGCCCCATGCCTGTGCATATCTGTGAATGACCATGCACTGTGAGTATTAATTTTAGATCTGCAAATAAAATTTAGCCAGTAGGTGAGTTTGCAAATACAGAATCCGCTAAAAATGAGTATCAACTGTGTGAGTGTGTGTGTATCCCCATATCTTTAGTACATCTAACAAAGTGAACAAGAATATCATTTATATGTAAAATGTTACACAGAATCTCCATGACCACCATAAGGACAATTTATTAAGCATTAATGTGTGCTGGCCACATTTCATCCTATTAATTCTTACCACAGCCCTGTGAGACAGGTGTTCTCACCTCTGTTTCCCAGTTGAGGTTCCCTCCTCACCCAAGTTCTCAGAGCTAGGAAGCAGTGGAGGCCAGATAAGGACCCAGAGCCAGGGACTATGGGGCTTGCATTTATTTTAATCCATCATGCAGGATATGGGAGGGCAATGTATTGACAAAACAGCTTTAAATATGGAAATACAAAATTGAGGCAAGTGTTGTGGGAGGTCAAGGGAGGCTGGGATGGGTCTAAGGATGGAGGAGGCTTCCTGGAAGAGGTGGCCTTCAAGCTGAGCCTGAAAGGAGGGTTTCTATCAGGAGAGTGGAGAGGCAGAAGGGAGGTGGGGCCTGGGACACCGGGCCAGTCCACGTGCCAGGCAGGTGTGGACTTTGAGGTTCCGGAGCGGGGAGGGGCTGGGCGGGGCTGGGCAGGAGGTTGAAGCCGACGATAAGGTCCGATAGGCAGGGCGGGGCCCGGTTGTGCGTACCCTGGAATTCCAGGCTTGGCCTTTGGACTTCACCCTGTAGACAAGGGGGAGCCACCGACGTTTCTGAGCAGGGCAGGGAGGCACCAGCTGTCACCCCACTCCCCGCCCCCCCACCCCCCCCCCGACTGGGCCGAACCCTGCAATATTTCAGCAAGTCCACTAGATGGAGATATTTTAGCAAATTTAAACGACCAGGCCTCTGCAGAGACTGCTTTCGGGCGAGGAAAACAAACCCCCTGGTTTGTTTTCCTCCCAAAGCCTCTGCGCATAATGACTCTACTCAAAGCATCCGCATCATAAAATGCAGGGGTTGTGAAACCAAAATCAAATTAGGGACGTAGTTCCGCTTTACTTTGCTGATGAGCCTCAGTTAATTTAACACCTTTGAAGGAGAAAGGGTTCAGGGTGAGCAGGAAGGGCAGACAGTTTTAACAAATGCCCTGCACACATTGTCTAGCATTTCAACCTCACTACAGCCCTTCAAAGTAAGTGCTGTTTCCCACCTTACGGCGAGGAAACTGAGATGCAGAGGGTTACATTTGCCATTTGCTGAGCTGACACTAGGCTAAGCAAGTGAAAGAGTTGATACCATGGGGTAAGAGGTAGGCTGGGCAAGTCCCCAAGGCAGTACTTTGCTGGGCCCAGGGTCCCTTTTGCAAAGGGTTGGGCATTGACTTGAGGTCCTACGTTGGTTGCTAGGAAAACGTGTAGCACAGATGATGAGAGCTACTGGACTCCTACCATTTGCAAAATTTCAGGTGCTTTTTAGAAATAGTTTCACTTAATTCTCTCATAACCCAGTGAGTTAAGGAATATCACACTCCTATTTTACAGGTAAAAAAAAACACACAACAGATTTAGAGAGGTGAAATGATTCGCCCAAGGTCATGCAGGAAGTAAGCACCAGAGGAGTCTGGATCTCAGGTATGCCTACCTCTGCTCTATGACTAACGATAAAACACATTTGACTTCTGGGTAAATTTCCTAGAGAAATTTGTGTACAGATGCCTGAAGAGACACATACAAAGACTTTTTTAAAAATCAGAGAATGGTGGTTTGTAATTTAAAAAAGAAAGAAAGGAAGGAAGGAAGGAAGGAAGGAAGAA